TCGCGCCCTCACATTCGTATACTCCCAACTCAGAATGGTATCTGAGAAGAGCAGATATCAAGTGTAATCCCCAGATTGAAGTCGAATGCCCTCGACACAACCCCTTCCCCAACCGACTCAAAAGGCAGTACCACACTATTTACAGCCAATACCGCAAATAAAGCCGCACATAAATAGATCGACACAGAAGTTGCGGTGTTGGAAAAAGTACCAATAACCACAGCCATGATTCCCATGAAACGATTCAAAGCAACGGCAGTGCCATTCCCCGTAGCACCATGGGCGGAAGGAAGTACCTCAGGCGTGTAGGCGTAGAGTGTTCCGTAATAAATATTGATACCCGTAATAAATATTGATACAGACAGAGGCGGCACAGTTGAACCCAAGGTCCTGCGCCGGACTTTTGACAGCTGAATATGCAAAAAAGAAAGTCACTATAGAACTCGTTAGTCTTTGGTTGGGCAATAAATATCAGTATAAATTCATACTTGCAAGCAAAGCCCCAATGAGCATTGTATACTTCCTGCCCAAGGGCCTCAGACGACACAGGAATGCAGCTATTATTGGCCCCGGAATAGCTAGAGAGTTTGTAATTGCATAATTTCTCCAGGTTCTATAAGGCGAATTCTCTTCAAAGCTTGCACCTCGACTTGTGATGTAGTCAGGAAGGAATATATAGAAGAGAGGGTAAGCTAACCCAATGACTGACCAAGAAAGCCAAATGAGTGTCATGGAAGTATACATTCTTTTCGTGGCAAACAGGCCTTTGTAGTGTCTTTCGACTTCGAAAAGCCACTCACACTTCCTTCCTTGGGAACGGTTGATTTTCCCGTAACTTTGCAATTGCTCGAGTGTGATACTGCAAGTTCGGTTGTATTTTTCGGCGATATGTTTTAATGTCTTTACCACCTTCTCATCCTCGCATAACTAGGAAATATCAGTGAAGCTCCAATAGATACTGTGGGCTGCACGCGTTTTACCCAAAGCCATTGAGACAGAAAAGCTTTATATGGTAATTGGTGAATCCAATTTCGTCAATGGCCTAGACTGTATAAGATATAGAATGCTTTTCTGGATGTGTAGGAACGAACATTATTAACTAGTTTCATTTTCGCGACAAGGACGGGGTCTGTATCCGCATATTCTGAGGCAATAATTTCTCCCTGTAGTGGCTGATCCTGAGGTGTAGCTTCCAGAAGCTCATGATTCTTGAGATCGGTATTGAGTGCCATCTTGAATCAAGGATGCTCGAAAATTAGAGGTTGGTATTGACGCTCAAAAGAGCGGTTTATGGTGAGCACATTCCGAGGTCCAAACCCCCTTTTATAAGTGCCGAAAGAATCACAATTTCCCCATTCCACTCTAATATCTCCAAAGATAGGGCTAACCAGAATGGCATTCTTATCAAGGCCGACTTATTAACTATATTAGGGCTATTGGGTTCTACACGTGACCGGAAGAGAAAAATGATCATAACCGCAGGGATTCGCCACAAGTCGTGGGTGATCGAGAACCTTTGGCTGGATTCATGACATAGCAGGAAGGGAGATATATGAAGTGTCGATAAAAGAGCTTCGTGTTCTATATCCACGAAATCGTATATCACAATGGTAAAGATAGCAAAGACCGGAAGTCTAAGATAGGACACGCGCATTACGATTTTCGATAGTGTTGTGGCAAAGGGGGACACTTGGTGTATAGAATATCTATTGGTCATTGATTAAATTGCCCCAATGGGGGTATCGTTGCTCCTACGGAGTAGATACAACATAGATCAACACTTGAAGAAGTGGGGAAGCGGAGCACCGGAGAAGTGAAGCTCACTTCTCCGGTCATCTGACCATCCTAACCCTACTCTTCAATGAGATTAGACAGTTAACAAGTGGGATTACCGTGATGAAGAGACTATAAATGCTTGGTGATGTAGGCAAAAATGCATCAAGTTATTGGGAAGCTCGCACTTTTCTGTCTTCATTTCAGCAACGAGAAACATGGAACATTTTGACGTCGCCATCGTGGGCCTTGGTGTCCTAGGCAGTGCAGCGGCATACCAGTCAGCTCTAAAAGGCGCAAGAACAATCGCATTCGAACAATTTGAGCTCGGCCATGTGCGCGGGGCTTCTCACGATACGTATCGCATTGTGAGAACGTCCAACTCTGCAAGTGAATATGTTGCCCTCGCCAAATCAGCATATCGGGATTGGGCCGAGCTAGAAAGGATGACCGGTCAAGATTTGTTGAGCATTACTGGTGGTGTGGTATTTATGCCAAAAGACGGACCACTCCCAGTTGAAAGTTACACAACCAGCCCAAAGGCGAACAGTGTGCCGTACGAGCTTCTTTCTTCTAAGGAGGTAACAAAGCGCTGGCCTCAATTCGATATCCCCGATACCGTCGCCACTGTGTATACGCCCGATACGGGGATCGCTCATGCATCCCGCTCGGACGCTACCATGCAGAGCCTGGCGTTCCAAAAAGGCGCCGTGCTAAAGGCAAATATGCGCGTTGAGCGAGTCACGCCTAAATATTCCTCTGGTCGAGGGACTATTATTCAGACGTCAAGAGGACAATTCCATGCCTCGAAAGTTATCCTCACAACTGACGCCTGGACGAATAAGCTATCCGCCCCCCTCGGCGTGCATATCCCGCTTTCTGTGATGCAGGAGCAGGTTACATACTTCAAACCACCAGATGCTTCAGTCTTCGAAGCAACTCGATTCCCGACATGGATTTGGTTTGGCCAGAAATCTTTCTATGGCTTCCCTTGCTACGGTGAGCCGACAATCAAGGCAGCACGAGATACGTCCCTCAATTTCATGACCCCCGAAGAGCGGGCATTTGTCCCCTCGGCGCAGCTTCAGAATAAGCTGGTAGAATTTCTCGCCAATTTCATACCTGAGAAGGAACTTCAGCCACTCCGTACGGTGACCTGCCAGTATACGATTACACCTGATCGCCAATTCATCATCAGCCCATTAACCAGTCATCCCGATATCATTGTTGGCCTAGGAGCGGCTCACGCTTTCAAATTCGCCCCGGCCTTTGGACGTGTCTTAGCCGAGCTAGCAATCGATGGTGAGACTAAGGAAGATATATCCAAATTTGGGATTCCAAGTGTTGCCACTTGTAGCACCAAACTGTGATGTTAGTCAAGTGCTAGTGACTTCTCCCAATCGTTTACTTCCAGGTACTTGGCTTTTCTGTATCTATTTTGAATTTCTGTTTATTGATTCTTTGAGCTCCGGATAAAGGCTTCCGGAATATCCCATCTCTCGTTGTTTGCAGACTGAGCAGTTTGTTTGTCAAGCTTGTCTGCATAGTATAAATCCCCTGCTCTTTGCTAGATTAGTGAATAGTGTTTCTTCTTCCTCTTCCTTCCCTTGCTAGTAGCCACAACAGAGGCCCCATATTTATATTCCAGTCATTCTGTGTCTTCATGATCAGCTTTTATAATCTCAACTTGGACCAAAGCAGGCTTATATTATACCTACGGGCCCTGTCTCTACTTCGGAGAGCTCAAATCAAAGGTTGTACTTGGAAACGTCCATTTCACAAAGCCTTTCCGCCTTATTCTAAGTCAACTATAAAACTAACAAGATATCTAAACAGAAAGAACACTCAAAAGACCACTCAAAAGACATCAGAAGGTCACTTGTACGGCCGACTATTATACCAGCAAACATTTTCAAAATATATATCTTCCTTTTAGACAGTATCCTTTTACTTGGCCACTAGCCATTTTCCAAGCCAGTGCTCAGTCACACAGACACTACTATGCGGAAAGAAATCGGAGACGGCAGACATCTAAGCACGGCTGCTATGAGCAATGTGAGGTTTCCTCCAGGCCTAAGATATGTGCTAAATCGACAAAGCGACATACTAGAATATTCGGCACTCTAATTGCCGATGAAGTACACACCGTCAAGAACACAAGTTCGGCCATTTCTACAGTTCTCCAACAAGTCTTCGATAATATCTTAGCCACGGCTACACCAATGTACAATAGTATCGATGTGAGTTACTCTTGGAGGTTTCTCCAGTTTCCCTTATCCGCTTTCAGCCATTGTCTAACAAATATCTCGGTACAAGACTTGTCTAGGCTCATGGCGCTCCTAGGTGCCCGTGGAGTGAGCGAGCTTGACAGGATGCTTGTTTCTGACAAGAGATTGAAGTCGTTGACTACGTACATACCTGTCCCAGCGCGCTTTGTGGAGCTTGTATTACCTACCACATGGTAAAAAATGACCTATATGCTATATGCTCTTCAACCTAGCGTAGCTGTAATTTGAAAAGGTCATGTAGACTATCTACCGTGTCCCGACTTATCACGGAGAAACTACTCTTTCGCCGGTCATGTGCGACTATGTGGGGGTATTGGGACTCCTTTACTCCGTCTGTACCGAGTCCAGTGCATAAACCAAATAAACACGAGGACACACTTTTGGCCAGATTTGGGGTCTTGGGTAGATATCGCCGATCATGTGGACGGCTTTTTCGGTGTTTAGTTCCTATCACTAATGTAGGTCGTCGCATATATATAGAATACACACCCAAAATACCAACCGACGTTCACACGACCACTCATCGCGAAGCTTCAAGTGCCAATCATGTTTGACACCCAATCACAACTGTTTCCTTTATCTCTTGCGTTTTTCATAGCATTATCTGTGTTTTTATGGATTCACATCAGCCGAGGCAAGGCAAATGACCGCCTCAATTCAGATAAAACCTTCCGCGCTCTACCATCTGTCTGGTATAAGTCTCCAGAACTTTACGAGTTGGAGCGAAGAGCAATCTTCTCCAAGCGGTGGATCCTTGCCACACATCGGTTACGTTTCACTAACGCTGGTGACTGGGTGAGATTCGAGGAGGCTGGATTCCAATTCTTTTTATGACGAGACAGGGAGAGAACTATCAACGGGTTCCATAATATCTGCAGACATCGCGCCTTCCCAATTGTGACAGAGGAAAAGGGTCAATCGAGTATTCTGTCATGTCAGTATCATGGCTGGTCGTATGGTCTGAATGGAAAACTCGCCAAAGCACCGTAATACCAAGACATGAAGGGATTCGACAAATCGCAAAATGGACTCCTCCCTATCCATGTATTGGTCGATGCTAAAGGATTTATATGGGTCAACCTTGATAGTTCTGAGAAACCTAGAATCCCTTGGTCGGAGGATTTCGAAGGTATTGACCAGCTTCCAAGACATGAGCGATTCGACTTCGACGACTATAAATTCGACCATACCAGGGGTATGAGCGGTGATTACAATTGGAAGACCCTTGGAGATAATTACAATGAATGTTATCATTGCCCTACTGCGCATCCAGATGTTGGAACTGTAGCTGATCTGCAAGCCTATAAAGTGGAAAATAAAGGTGGCAACATCCAGCACTTCGCCGGTACTACTCCTGACCAGGAAAGTGAAGGTCTGCTTGTCGTGAGCAACTACTTCCCTAACGCTTGCATGACTGTCACGTAGGGTTTCCTTACTTGGTCTTACCAAATCCTGAAATAATAGTCGTCTAGGCCTCACTTCTTCTATATGATGCGCTATGTACCGACATCCGCGAACCATTGCTCAATGGAGTATGAAGTATACAGACACAAGGATGTGAGTGACAAAGACTTTGAAAGGATTGACTCAATGTTTGAGCGAATCTTATCCGAGGATAAGTGGCTTTGTAACAATGCGCAGAAAAATCTGAACGCGGGAGTCTTCGTGAACGGTGAAATGCACCCAAGATTGGAGAGTGGTCCTCGGTTCTTCCAGGAGTCAGTACGGAAGCATCTTCAAACTCATAGAAAGCAGGAAGAAGAAGCTGGGAAGGAAATATGGCCTGCTCGACAGATATCGAAACAGACATGCACAAGGGAAGATTTGAAGTTTTGTTCTTCCTTGACTTGTCAAAAGGCAGAACTTTCTTGGTAGATACAGCTTCAAGAATGAAATATTATATCGTTAAGATCCAAAATCACATATATGTTTATTAACTGTCGCTTACTAAACATTGTTAGCATTCAGGGTTAAACAGCGAGTTCTTCTTGCAAATTACACTTACCTTTTACTCCGTACAGTAAGCTTTTAGTATCAAGTCAGCTTCAGTCCTCCCTCCTCGTTCAACGATGAAGGGAACATCGCTTATCACGCTAAACACATACGGCTTAGAGCCTCTGGAGCCAAATCTACTATATACACTTCTACGTATTTTCAACTTCCCCTGTATGTACATACACTTACGAAATTGAATTCATCTACTTCCCCGTAATGGCAATCACCCAACTACCTATTGAGATCCTGTGGATCATCGCATCATGCTTTTGCCACCAAAGGGACATTTACGCCTTGGTCCGGGCCAATCGTCATCCATACAAAACACTCATCAAGTTTCTGTATTACTTTCACGGTCAGTATAAGCATGGAGCCGCGCTATCCTTTGCTGCCGAGCAGAACCTCTTTTTACAAGTTGAAAGTTTGCTGGATGTGCTGAGTGCTGCCCGTAACCAGCCTCAAGCATCCCTAGCAACAATAGAAGCAACCGAAGACATTTTAGACATTTTCATCGACAGCCTATTTGGTGTGTCGACCGTGACACCCTCTTGCCTTATGACACAATCAGCGAGAAGTTAGCTTGTGCTATTCTAGCCTTGACCTCTTGCTTCCTCCAAGAGTTGGACCAACTACATTATAGCAACCGCGCTAGAAGTCAGATTATGCTTCGAATTGCGAACGGTACAGTAGGTCTCTCGACGATCGAAAGCCTGTGTCTACTTTCCTTTTCCTTTATTCTAAGTAAGTTCAATGTTATCGCGCGTGGCCGTTGACTGGTAGATGTTAACAATATTCTAAATGGGCAGACAAACCTCGGACAATTTCACCTTCGTCTCGGTCTCGAGCTTTGTCAATCAGCCCAACTAGATTGAGCACACACATATAAAGACGACGACTCCTCAGAAGGGCGGAAGAAAAGAGTTTACTGGAGTCTTCAGCTGCTGGAACAATGTCATGGGCTTAACAGAGATCTACTCTGTCCTCCAATACGAGATAATGACCCGCCACCATATCTGAGATGCAATCTTTGTGAATTCGATTGTCAATGTTTTCCAACCCCAGCTTTCACCCCGGATCATACCGGTGCAGAACCAGCCTATCGTGGTATATGGTGCTACACAATTCATCTTGGATGGATTTGGAGCCAACTTCGAGCTTACGTCTCACAATGCAAACTGACTGGAATACAGAGCCCTTGGCTCCCAACCTCAACATATACTTCACTCCAATCCGAGCTTCTCGAGGTAGAGAATATAATTCCAGCATGCCACCGATACGATTCAGCGGGGTTTTTCGCTCGTGATCCCGAGGAGATTCAACAACGTCTATCCTATTGGATACCTTGGTTGAAAAATCAATTCATCTACCACGGCTGTCATATTCTGTTGAATCACCCGTTCATTTCTATTACAGCGTCACAACGCGACCAGAAACTAAACATCCCAAACACATTCTGGAGACGATCCTCTGACTCGGTTCTGTTGCATGCGACCTGGATCGTGCGTATGATCGACATGGTTGCAGAAAAGCGCATTCAACTGACAGATCCGTTGTTCGCACATATCACGGCCATCTCAGCTACCATCTATCTTTACTTTTCATATTCTGCAGACATGCGACTGAAAATAAAATCTAATACAGATCTGGGCAAATTTAAAAGATCCCTAGAAGGCTTTGGGTTCTCGAGTCTGTGCAGAGATTTGGTAAGATCAATATACCGGCTGCAAAGTGCATATCCTAACATATTCCCAGTCCAAAAAATTAGAACAGGCTATTCAGATAGCCTCATCAAGTGATGAATCATGTGATGGCAATGAGAGACCATTGATCCGTCTCAGCACAAAGCTAATGTGGGAAATATTGCAATTTGATTGTGGATCAAGTCTAAGGACACCAGGTCAACTTTTTGATAAATCCCTGGATTCTACAGACCGGAGAAGTGCAGACCTGCAGCCTCTAGAGATATTCGTGACTCCAGCACAAGCCTCAATTAACACACTGGATGGAGGACAGAGTGCACCAAATTATGGGCAAACAGCACCGAATCAAGCGAACACTTCTCTCGGACAACATGATGACCATGTGCAGCCATTCATGTGATCACACCGAATGAGGGATTGAGAGCTGATACATGGCTCTGGACTATGCCTGTGTCGGACCTGGGGGAATTTAGAGAAAGCAATTCGGCAGCCAGTGGGATACGCCCGATGGAGTGGGACTTTGGCCATTTCTGATTATGTTCTGCAGACCGTGGAGAATGTTTCATGCAATTGTGAATCAGGTATCCAGATTCAAGGAAGGGGGCTGACCTCGATAGATGTAGCTATAGGAACGAAATTATTAGCATATTGATAGGGACCTGTATTTACATTTGTTCTTCCTTACCGGTCTACTCCGTACTTGATCTACATGATAAACAAGACTAGTATGATATGGTAGGCCAATGTTTTAACGATACATGTAGTATTTTGAAACGCCTTGATCAAACTACCTACTCATTCAAACCCTCAAAGAGTAACAATACACATACGGGATATCTAGAAACAAGCTAAGGGCAAAACAAAAAGATCCCAAACGTTTAGGACCTGCGCATCAACCATGAAAACAGCTAAACCAACTCAACGCTTGATAATCCCAAGTCCCTCTTCAAGACGATCAAGCAGGGAGTTAGTCGAATCAACCGACGAAGCCGGTGACAGGGACCGTTTATGCTTGGTTCCCGCTGCAGTCACCACATCTGGCGGAACATACTCAGCCAAATCCAGTTCCATACCCTCAGTAATATCCACATCTGGAGGGAGGTACTCGGACTCGGGTGATGATCCGCTTGTCACGATTTTTGCGGCGTTAACGGCGTGAGCTGCAGCAGAGGCGGATTTGAAGGCTCCCCGGGAACCAGAGGCAGAGCCAGAGATAGAAGCAGAGGTAGAAACAGGCGCATCTCCAGAAGTCTGTTCATCATCAGGGCCAGGAGGATGCAAAATCCTTTTTCGGAAGTTGTATCTAGGCTCTACCGGACTGGTAGTCTTAGATTTAGGAGGATTGGGGGGACCAGCTTGCAACTTGGCCCTTTTGCTGGCAGCCTTCCGTCCGCGATTCTTGGGTTTCGGGCCTTTGCCGGCTGGAGCGTTACGGTGGCCGTTTCCATCTAGCTCGTCCTTGTTACCGTCTAAGCCTAACTCGATACTAGCGACGACTTGATTGCTTGTTACATCGTCGTGGCTTGGCATGGGCACGCCATGGGTTTTTAGGTATTGGGCTTCGGCGGTGGCCTTTGCGGCGCGAGCTTCTTCTAGCAGGGCTGCTTGTTTGGCTCTTTTACGCGCTTTGCGGGACAGTTTGATTTCGGCTTTTTGTTCTTCGGTTTTGGGGGCCTTCGGGTTCTTTTTTGCCGGCGGATTGGTGGCTGCAGTATTGGCGGTTGTGGGGTTTATATCCGCGGTGTTTGGGGCCGTAGTTGTATTATTGGCGGCGTTCGCTTTTTCTCTGGCCTTAGCCTTCTTATTCTTCTTGGCCTTTGGCTTGGCATTTGTAGGAGCAGGAATAGCCCCCGCGCCACCGACCGCCATGGGATGGCCATTAGAGTGGGCATTCGGCTGCTTTGGGAGGAGACTCATGCCACCCTCCTCATTGTCGACAGAATCCTCGTGGAGCCCAATATCCAATTCGAGAATAGTACCCTCGCCCTTGTCTACGCGCTCATTCCAGGCGTATAGGACCTTGCTCACGTCGTCGTGGTGGGCAAGATAATCGAGGCGGTTGAGAACCTTAGTGAAGAGTTTAGTCTCATCGATAGTGGGGTCGTCGTTGAACTCCGGAATCTCGAGGATATTGAACGGCTCGCTGGAAGCCTTGAGCTTGCTGTCGTCAATGAGAATGGTGTTCGTTTGATCCCAGCGGTGGCCCGCGGGGAGCTTTGCAGCCTCAGCCTGGCGGAGCTTTTGACTGCGGTTCTTATGTGGCGGTTCATTGGTTGATGATGAGGCTGGGGGATCTTTTAGATGCTCATTGCCCGGAAATGCGGCTTGGATATTTGCTTCAGCCCAGACTTTGTGTAGCTCTTTATAGACCTGGAGCTTTTTGTTGTATTGGCCGGCGGTGAGGCCGAATTTGTCGCGTCCCCAGAGGGCAACGAGAGCATCATGCATGGGGCCTGGGAAGATCTGCTCGCAGACTGCGTTTACAGTCGGGGGTTGGGAGCTGGACCAAATCATGACTTTGTAGTCTTTAATCAGCGTGGCTAGGAAGTGATCTAAACCGGTGCGCCTGGCAAATCTCGGTGGGAATTTGCGTAGCTTGCGGTAGATGAGGGTGCCATTGAGATCAAGGATGACGAGAAGTGGTCGCTTTTCGGTCTTCTCTGGCTTCAGTGATGCTTGATTTGTGTATTGCAGTGTCGGAAGCGGGACTTTGACTGGCGGTGTTGGCGAACGTTGTCTTTGATGATCAGGTGTGAACCGTTTCCCTGCGTTGCCGGTCATTGTACTCATGGGTCGGGTGTTCTGGAAGGGTGGTGGGGTATTCATATCGAGAGGGAAGAGCGGAAATGGGGGTGGAAATGGCACCCCGCTATCAAAGGGTGGACACATCCAGGGCATAGCCTGTGCCATTTGGACGAAAGCCTGATCCATAGCCATTTGGTCCTGTGGCAAATTAATAAAAGTCCCAAATTGTTGTTGGCCTTGTTCTGAGGGCATTTGCGGTTGACCATACTGTTGCATGGCAGGAGCATGGCCCCCAGATTGATAGGCCTGTGGGATCTGATACCCAAAACTCGAGTTCATATTCGTCGTAGGGTCGTACCGCGTCTGCTGAGGATTGTTTTGTACAGGATAGTCCCCGTATCCCGCACCCCGATGTGTATCCCGAGGAGGCGCATTGCGGTCCCAAGAGCCGTGCGAGGGAGCCGGCCGGCTGCTCCCCCGTCCATTTTGTGCTGATGCAGGGTTCATTTTCATCGCATAATCGGCTGAATCGGCATACTGGGGGGTCAAACTCGGCTGATATTCAAGATCTGCGGCGTTAGACGCTCGCTGCGTTCTTTTGTTTGCGCGAGATAGCTTGAAGGAGGTTGGCCGTGACACGAGGAAAGTAGAAAATCTCAGACGGGATTTCAGAGCGCCAGGTTTTGGAACTGCAAGAATCTGTTTAAAATATAAATTAGAACAAATCAACAATTGGCGAATATGCTACCCACGTAGCGAATGGTAGTGGAGGCAATACCTGATTGGCTGCTCTGGGAAGAGGCTGAGAGTGAGGCGATGATAAATTTGCGAGTGAGAAAAGAGGGAAGTCTCGACTGCGCAGAAAATGCAGGGACATCTATAGAACAACAAAAACAAATTGGCTAAGAGCGTTCAAGGTTCGCAGTATCGGGGCATCGCGAAAAATATCTAATCAGTTCTTATCGCTCTGACCGCCCCGTGCGGCAATATTTTTCTTTTTGCAGTTCTTCTTCCTCTGCGGGGGTTTCCAATTACAGCAACAAAATGGCTATTTCCGATATGCTCAATCGCCGAGTGCGAGCTCGGCCAGCTGATGATGAGGTATACTATGAGGCATCAGGTTCCGAGGAGGACTCGCAGGTTGGCTCTGATGCCGAATCCAACGGCTCCATCCAATCAGTAAGCCAACCCCATACGTTTTTTTTTTTTTTGGAACTACAACTAACAAGCAATCTAGCAGCCAATTGGCTCCGACTCCGAAGATGCAGGTACAGACTCGGATTCCGAAGCAAGCAACTCAGACAAAGAAGAAGAGCCCGAATCCGACCACGACGACGACGGCGAGGACTTCCAAGCCTCACTAGCAGACATCTCCTTCGGCGCCCTTGCCAAAGCTCAAGCCTCAATGCGCGAGAAGAACCGCAAAGACAAGCGCACACCGAAAGACGACTCCACACCCTCAACTGTCGACGAGATCCGTACGAAGCTGCGCGAAGCACGTGAACAAAAGCTCGAAGCAGCCGCCAAATCTAAATCTAAAGAAAAGAAGAGCAGATCATCCAAGCACGCTCCCATGGAGCAATCGTCCAAACGGGCCGTGACGCGCAAGCGCATGGCAGTCGAACTCCCGCCCGCGCCACGCTCCAGGGACCCCCGCTTCGACGCGGCTGTCATGGGTCACAGTGGAGTCGGAAAGCACCCGCACGGCGGGAAGGCGTATGCGTTCCTTGACGAGTACCGGGCGTCTGAGCTTAATGATTTGAAGGAACAGATGAGGAAAACAAAGAATCCTCAGCAGAAGGAGAAGCTTAAGGGGGAGATTCGGCGGGCGCAGGATAAGCTGCGTTCTGCACAGAATAAGAAGCGCGAGGCGGAGGTGATAGCTGAGCATAAGAAGCGTGAGAAGCAGCTGATTCGGGAGGGCAAGAAGGCCAATCCGTACTATCTCAAGAACTCGGAGTTGCAGAAGCAGGTTCTTGAGCGGAAGTATGAAGAGATGGGATCACGGGAGCGTGCGAAGGCGCTTGAGAGGAGACGCAAGAAGTTGACCTCTAAGGAGCGGAAGGAGATGCCTTGGGAGAGGAGGGGGGCGGAGGGTGGTGGTGAGGATGGGGGTATGCCTAATGCTGGGAAGAGGAGAAGGTTGGAGTAGACGTTTTTTATATTGGGTCATGGCGTTGAGCTATCTGGGAATGAAAAGCACATAGTATTATGCATATAAATATTGAATATCTGTCTACATATCCACGGGTATATCGTATGTCGAGGTGTGATGCATTAGGATTACCAGTCTCGGAGCCGAGGGCCAACATGGCAATAGCAAAAGGCTGCAAATAGCAGAAAGAGGGCATTCGGAACAGGCCAGTAAGAGGCAGAGAACTCATTACCATAATGCTTTATCTCCCCAAAAAAAAGTCCAAAAGGTATAGTACGAAACACGAAACACGAAACCTCCAACGCCCAAAGCAAACTTGATGCAGAAAGGAACCCGGGCACAAAGTTTTACAGGGTAATGTGCCCTGTCGATACTGTCGTAACATAGATAACATGATATTGATGCAAGCATCATTGGTGTGGTGGGTAGGGTTTCAACGACTCCATCATCCGGGATGAGTCGGGGAATATGGACATTCGTATTTGCCCAGGCATTGAATCTTTTTGAGATTGGACTTGCCAATGGAACCAAATGATTGCCCAGGACTTATAGCACCAAAGAAAGGTCTTTGCAATCCAAGGCACCAGACTCCTCAGGTGGAATCGATATAGATCAAGGAATATGAGGTTATGTCGGGTCGCGCATTTTCTAGCAAATAAGTTCAAGCAAGTTGCATCATTGCTTGAAACTCGCGAAGCAGAGCAAACCCTAGGCCTCTACAAGAGGCATCTGAAACTAACAGATTGATATCATATCACGAGTGGAACAGATCCCAGGCCCGTGCACAGAGACCCAGAAATTCATCCTTCTTTCTCCGCTGCGTCTCTGGCGAGTCTCTTCCTGCGCCGAAAGGTCCAGGGAACGAAGCATGTGGACCGGGTATAGAAGCCGGGTTAGGTCGGTATTGAGAGTCGGGGCCATGACCCAGTGGTGGACTTCCATTGTCATGTTCATACTCGCTCCGAGGGCGCCGACGTGCTGTAACTTCGGACGGGGCGAACATACCAAAAGAGGCAGGAGGTGGACCGTGTGGCGCTTGGGGTTCAGGGGCAAGAGGCGCGGTTTTGGGGGCTGCATGAAGTATTTGCGGGGATGGCGGAGTGGGAGGTTGGTGACCTCCATAGTGTACAATGCGAGGCAAGAGCTCCTCTCGACCACCGGACATCTCTTGCACGGCTTCTTCGGCTGAGTGGTATTCGCGCGGGCGGTTGGGGGTTTGGGACACGCTACCCGGCAGACCAGGGGAGGGCATCGGCGCCAAGTTGTTGGATTGGGAGGAATTGTTGCTCGACGGGTTCAGGTGGATATTGGCAAGGCCAGAATCGCGGTCGCGACCCAGTGCATCGGAGCCGAAGACGTCGGAGAGGGGAGGAAGACGATTGTTTGTTTGGGTTGCCGGGAGTTGATGCATGTGGGAAGTCGAGCCTAAGGTTGGGCTCTGGTTGACAACATGGCGGGTCAGCGGCTGTGGCTGGTACCTGCCCGTGAAAGTCTGGTGTAGCGGAGCCGATTGGATGACTCGCTCGTTTGCGAACTGGGAGGCAGATGGAGGAACAATAGACAGGCCGGCCGGTCTGCGCTTTGTCTTGGGCATGCCCATCAAATTCGATTCTGAAGGCTTAACACCATCGGGACCATCGTCCTTGGCGGATCTCTGCATGCGCTGCTCAATGATCGACCGTTGCTGATCCCGCACAGAGAGGCTGCGCTGCAGCTGCTCTCGCATGACCGGATCGTGGGTTTGGAAGCCAGGTGATAGGCAGGCTAGGCCTACATGTTGCATCGAGGCTGTCAAAGGGCCTCCAGGAGCGCGAACGGACAACCCACTGGAGGATGGAAGACTAGTCGAAAGGTCCAATTTCCGAGGCCTGGGCCGACTCTGTATCCGTGGGGAGGATCCCGGTTCCTTCTTTACAGTAATCTGTGGACCTGCGCTGCCTTGGGATCTGATCATAATGTGAGTATGTGAAGCTCCGATATGAATCTTCCGACTTACGGAGATGCTGGACCTCTCTTCTCGGTCGGAGAACCGTGTACCGTGGATCCATGTTGGGGACTTTTGGACATCCGGGGCGGAGATATATTGGACGGGATGTTATTCGGAGGAGCCAAAGCCGGGAGGTTTCGCGGGCTAGGGTTACGAGTAGGGTGTGGTGATGACAAGGGGGCCGGTGCAGATGCAACTGCAGTGGACATGGTCGATACTGTGATTTCCCTCTGGATATCACGTAAATGGTTGATAGATTTCCTTCACAGGATGCAAGGGCATCCGGAGTGCGGGCAGGACCGGAAAGATCGAAACGTGGGATCGGCCGGTTGATATATCCAAGTCGGAGAGTACTAATCTCCAGTATAAGAGATGGTGAGAAGGGCGGTTAAGCGTCAAGCGGCAGTGTGACGGTCCAGAGTAACAAGCGAAAGAAATGGACAAAACCTGAAGGAGGGGGGGGTGAGGAGTCTGGGCCCGTAGAGGAAAAAAAAAGAGAGAGAGATCGCCCAAGCTATCCAGGGGGAAGTTAAAAAAAAAGGAAGTTAAGAGTAAGTACACAGTACGTTGATGCCACGAAATACAAAGAGGGGAAAGAGGCATCAATGCTGACCCCAGCTAAGTACCAGATACCCGGACAGTGGACTGGTGGATCCAACTGAGACACGATATGTTTCTGGGAGTTCCAGGGGGATCCACCGTTCATTTTATTTGAATTCATTTTCTATTACTGTAGTATGTATTACTATTATTTATCGAACTTATAAGAGTATTTTAATATAAATCTCCGCACTATGTTGTATTACTATTCAATAGTTTCCGACATGTCACCTATAATTATCTAAAATTATAGTATACGGAGTATATAATTCGCTTATAGTAATATATGTGGACCCCTTTCTCTCTAATAGTATACAACATAACAAAAATCCCAAATTTATCAAATCATAACTCCCACTCGGCACACAAAGAAAAAACAAGTCACATCTCCGTCCACTCGTACAGCGTTATATGTCAAACATGGCGCCGCGGGCGCTTATATCGAAAGGGGGCCACTAGTGTGTGGCGTCCACAAAAGAAGTCACCCACTCATCACCTGGGCACCAACCAACACCTGTCCCATGCGAGTAGAACACCCTACCAATAGCACTGAAACCGAAACTGAAACAGAACAAGATTTTTTTTTTCATGACTCAGGACAGACCCTATTTTGAGAAAAAAAAAAAAGAAAAAGAAATCCATACAACATAGTTATAATATAACATCCTGAAATTAGCCATTCTCCTGTAAATGCACAGACCATAGGTGCATGCCCTTTATCACAAAAGGTGTTGCCTATGAAAAATGACAAATACCCGGTCGGGGATTCAGCCTGGGAAATCTTTGAAAGTATAAATCTCACCTTTGTTTCAGATCCTACTGACTATTCGATTTTTTTTTTCTAATCTATCTGAGATGTAAAAAAATCTACATAAAACATTGTATATGTTGTACTATTATTAAAGCCGTTATTCCATACCACAGAGTACTCCGCACTTACGGAGTAGAGTATTCCTACTTATTAGAAGTATATTCTCACATGTGGAGAGGCTCTGTTGGAAAATATACTTGCATCAGGTTCCCAACATAAGCATGTGCATATGTACTTCGTGTTGAGGGATTAGTAAATGGACGATGTTTCCAAGGTTGCAGGAACAGGCTATAATGATCCATCGTACGACCTTTTCAACCTCCAAGACACACAAATAACATTGTCATACAAATATTATACTTGCAGGTTTTCTAGAAAAGAACCATGATATCCTTTATCTTCACAAATGACTTCACAATGGACAAGATCTCGACAATGCAGTGCTATAGATGACAAAAACAGCAGGCGGTGAGACCCGACTATCGATAACCCACCTTTTTTTCTTCGCGATAATCTTCGACTTGGAGATCCAGATCGCGCAAATTTGTTACACTAAAAGTTCGATCTTCTAAGCTAGACGCTAGCAAAGACCTCAACGCACCCTCTTGCAAATCCAGACACAGCTCACCACCAACCACCCACCCAACTCCCGCATTCGCTCAGCATTCGACCTAGTGTCGAACTTGTTAGATTACCACCTACCTCACACTTCTCACCCAATCCAACACAATGCCTGAGTCCGTCCACTCCCAAGATCTGGACCAGTCCATGGTCGACGCAGAGCAGGAGCAGCCCGCCGAGCTGCCCCAGTCCAACGACCCCATCCTTGAAGAGAGACAGATTGTCGTGGTACGTATCTGATCTTCCCGACATATGTAAATTGATCTCAGTATCAATCTCTATGTGGTTAAAAACACCAAACTAATACCATTATTTCCAGCTTCCGGGCGCCACCGAAACTGCCGCTTCATTCCAGTTCGAAGGCGAAGGCCACACCATGGGCAATGCGCTGCGGTACGCAATTATGAAGAAGTGAGTATACCGCGCTGCCTGTGATTGCGAGGATGGATTTGGTTACACCGGTTTCTTTCTCGGGAGCATTAAAATCAAATCTTTCGAACATCGTCACTGACTTGAATAGCCCCGCCGTTGAGTTCTGCGGCTACACCATCCCCCACCCCTCGGATCCGAAGATGAACGTCCGTATCCAGACTACCGGTATGACCTGCTACTTTCTTGTATATCGCCGGAATGTTGAATTGTGTACTGACTGCGTGGTTTCAGATGCTACTACTGCCCTCGAGGCTCTGGAGAAGGGCTTCAATGACCTGATGGATCTGTGTGATGTCGTAACGGAGAAGTTCACTGCTTCGCGTGATCAATTCAATGCGGAGAGCGGTAACCGCATGGAGGCATGAGGTTATTTATTTGCATATGTATTATTTAATTGGCGTTCTGGGTAGAGGGAAAAGTACATTTTCTATCTCGGGCATGAGAAGTGCTTGTTTTTGGTCTCTTTGGTATATATATTTATAAGAAATACTTGATGAAGATAGAGGACTTATTCGTGTGATGCATTCTACGAAACCGATATTGCCTGTGCTGTCATAGAATCAGCACCAAGTCTCAGAGCTAGGCAGATTTAAGACACTACAATATGTAGATGGGAACAATATAAGGTAATGGAATGGCTTATTCAGACAATATATACACATCATGTCTATCGACGGCGCAGTTCCTTTAACTGCCACATCGCGGACTAGAAACGAGACGAAGAGGATAGGAAATGAGAGAGAAAGAAGCAGAAAGAGGGATTTAATTGCGGCCCTCGAGGAAGCCAGACACAAAGTTGCGGGGTAGCCGGGCGCCGGGATCTTCTTCTGGGCGGAAGTACTTCATAACATGAGAGAGCTGCTTCCAGTAGTTAAGGGTTTCCTGCATTGAAATGAAGTCAGTATTTGATTCTTGGATTGTAGGGTGACTGCGATGATGTTCAATCAAATAAAGACAAAGATAAGTAGATTTTCTTCTTATGATTGCCTTCTTGAAAGAACCCGCATGTCGCATATGCATAGACATATAGCCACAGATAGAAAGGTGGACCTGGACTGACCTGGAACTCGGCGTGGCTCTGGTACAAAAGCACATCCACAACGTTCAATTGGCTGACGTAGCGGTTCTTCTCGAACTCCTGGCGGATCTTGGTGCGGATGGCAGACACGGGCATGCCCAGGGAGTACATGGTCTGGATCTCCGGGGACTGTATTGAGCGATATCACGTTAGCTGGGTCCATTGCGGGGTCAAATTGTGGCCTCTGAAGCCAGACAACAGGGTCATTGATAAATCAGCTCCTGAGATATCTGCATTGGATAGAAGGAAAGAGCGTATGAAGGGCGAATGTGTATCGGCCTGGGATCTCGGGGTAGACTAACCGCGCGGAGCCATTCACGGTACGACTTCAGGACTCGGTATTTCGCATCGCCCCAGTTGACAGCTAGAAAACAAACAGGCATATTAGCACCTTTTCGCGGGTGTGATAGACTCCATTGACGATCCCGCCGGGTGGTCGGCGGAACGCATCGGGCGTGGAAGGGACGTACAGGAGCGAGTGCGCTGCGCCAGGTAGGTAGGGTTGATAGTCATTTTGAAGGAGAGTTGAGTGCCCACTCAATCCAGTGCGATTCAATCACTGGGTGCAGAGAGACGGGAGAGAATTGAACGTGGGTTCCTGAGCTATGAAGGTGGAGGTTTCGATCTGAGGTTGGTGGTGGAATGGGCCTTGCTCACCGCCTGCCTTTTCAAAAAAAATCTTTGCGAATTTGGGGATTATCGGACCGTCTGCGCGACGTTTCTCTGCTCTTGTTTTTTTTTTCGTCGAATATTTTTTGATATCTCTGGTTCTGTCGCAGGGGTATTGAATTTATTTTGGGTTGTTCAAGTAATCACAACTCATTTCTCGCCAGCCTATCAATCTTTGCATTTCCTCCCACTCAGTCCGCCTCGCCTCAACTCAATCAACCGTTCAATTCTTCAAACACCACAAAATGGCTCCTAGCAAAGGCCCCAACGTTGGCGGCGCAAAGGGCGCAAAGGGAGGTGCAAAGGGAGGCAAATCTTCCAGCCTGTCGTCTGCCTCGCGCGTCAGCAAATCGAAAGATGGTCCCAAGCGTCCCCCGGCCAAGGAACAGAAGAACAAGCCCCGCACCGTCCAGGAAAACTTGAAGAAAAAGAAGAAGAGAGTGTACACCGAGAAGGAGCTGGACCTACCCGAGTTGAACCAAATCACACCTGTTGGAGTGATCAAGCCCAAGGGCAAGAAGAAGGGCAAGACTTTTGTCGATGATGCGGTATGTTTTGCATCCTACGCTATATTATATTGATTGCACTCTGTGAAAGCCTGATACTAACCCGACCACCTCCAGGAGGGCATGATGACAATTCTCGCCATGGTGAACGCCGAGAAGGAAGGTCAGATCGAATCCAAGATGATGAAGGCACGTCAATTAGAAGAGATTCGCGAGGCAAAGAGAGCCGAGGCTGAGGCTCGCATGAAGGAGAGGAAGAACAAGTTTGACGATGTGAAGGATTCCATCCGGCAAAAGAAGAAGGGCAATCGTGGCGACAAGGCCGCGGAGCCGACGAGTATCAAGGATAGCATCTCGAAGCCCGGGCGATCAAAGAAGAAGACCGTTGCATTTGCTTAAAAAAAAGTCTGAATATTTGTGTCTATACTTTGATTATGTATTTAGATATCGGGGTTTGGCGTTTCACCAATTTATCAATCTATGTCTATCGGAACAGAAACATCATTCTGCAAAAACACCGTCCATGCTGTGGTCTCCCCATCTGTAATCTATAAATGGCCTGTCGCTCTCAGGCATGATGATTGTAACGGTGGGTTGGGGAACTGAATGTTTGAGGGCCAGCCAATTACAGCCCCAAAGGTAGTGCGAGTTTGCGTCGCATCGAGACGAATTCAGGCTTTGGTGCCAGGTCGGGTTCTTTGTTGTCACCATCGTGGCTAGCAATATTTCCAGGGAGTCTTTCAGGATGTTCGACAACACCAGGGATATTAGTGTCAATTTCCCTTGCCATTTTGTTCAAGAAGTTGGTCACCTGAAGGGGTTAGTATGAAGTTCATTCCCGCCTCGAATGGGCAATTGCAGATTACATACCGGCTTGACAAACCACCTGGACCCTCCAAACTCGAACCAGCCTAGATGGCCACCTCCTGATGTAGTCAGCATGACTCCATATGGCGTTTGGGTCATTTCCTGGTAGGGCAGAGCCTCTCGGCAAGCAATCTAGTAAAGTCAGTGTCGTGTTCACTGTGGTATGAACGACTTGAATAACTTACAGGATCATCCTCTGCTTGAATGCTAAGGAAAGGAATCCTGATAGCAAGCATGGAATCGGTAGAAGTGGCATCACGGTAATACGCCCCCTCGGTGGGGTAGCCCCAGGTCGGGCATTGTAGAGCTCTGTTGCATGTTAGAATGGTAGTCATTCTGATATGCAGAATGGATTCTTCTTACCGGTCGAACTCGTGAAGGTAGGTAATGTTTCTTATCGCATCAACATCGATGCGAGGGTTTTTGGAGACTTGGTCAACATGTCTGTTATCCATGTGATTAGTTAAGGTTTCATATCATCAGAATAGACAGGTACTCACGCCTCGAAGAGCTTCTTCATACTTGTTCCCATGGTCCTACTGTATACCTCCTTGCCAATCCAAGTGTTTTGCAACATCATAGAACCAATATCCAAGTTCCACGGGCTAGCACAGATAACGGCTGCCTTCAACTGACAGGCGTCACCTTCCTCGCCAAGATACTGCACAGTTTGTTAGTTGGGGGCGTAGACAGTCAAATTGCAGGGGGGTCATACATTAGTGAGGATGTTCGCACCGAGTGAGAAGCCAATTCCAAAAAGAGGGCGGTTGGGGAACTGCTTCCTAAGCCACTTCACCGACTGGCGAACATCCCAGGTAGCTCGGGCATTGTAAAGAACACCGGTACTGATATTTGTCTGGGCACACCCTCTCGAATTGACAACACATGCTTCCCAGGCACCATCTTTCACAAGTGGTGCTAGGACCTCTCGCAAGTATACTTCGTGGGAGCCACCACTCAGACCGTGAAGAAGCACAAGCATAGGCTTGGTGTCATCTGAAGGCAACACAGAAAATTCATCCTTGGTGAAAAACGATGTGCGTGGCGGCATACCAGACTTTTGGGTATACTTTCTCGCTTGATCAATAAGCTCCGGGTCTTGAGGAATGTCGTACGGTGCAACCACGAAATCCATGGCATAATGCCCCATGAATGCAGGGCTATCCGACTCGAACATTTTACGTTTGTAGTAAATGGGAACGTTGTCGTGTTTCATAACGGTCCAGCATGTCTGTAGGTGCCCATTGAACAAGAAAGGGTTTAGGTTGCACTTTTCTGGTGTTGCAGACCGACAGACATCCACGAACGTGGTTTGTTCCTTAGCACCTGCGGCGCCAGAAACTTTGGTCAATGTCAACTTATTGTCTTTGGCATGATAGAAAGCTATGCGTCCCTTTGGACGAAGCCATGAAATCAAACCCATGGCGATCAGCCCCGATAAGAGGACTGATAGGGGGATTGAATTCAGAAGCGTTGGGATGAGGTCGAGCATGGGGGTGTATGAAGACTAGAGAACGCTCGAATTTGAGTAAATGGACAAATCGATATCCCAATAAGGCTCGTTCAACTTTTATATACTCTCAGAAGAGATAAATGGCAAAAACCCCAATACCTGATCCAAGGATCCAGCCCAATAATATTGATATCTAATTAGACCTCGGCAAAAAGTTATGTTTAGATTTTCCACTCAAGATCCACTCCCGGGACCACGGCACCCCCGGGCCCCGAAGTGGTTCATTGTGACTAAGCCAACAATATGCACCCACACGTGATTTACACAATTATGCACAGCTTGTCAGGTGATCTGCACCTCAAGGTTTGCTTAGTCATGACCATGAGGCTGCCTGGGCAGGCAAGGTGGGCACCTGATAACATGCTGGCGTTTTTGTCATACGCCCGCAGTCAGTTGACGATGTCATAGCGCATAGAAGTCCTGAGCTCAGATTAGGTAGAAGACTCCCCTTAATTAACGTAGTTGCAAAAGGTTTGGGGGGAATTCCGCCGAATTTGAAGTGATGATGTTATGATGCTCAATGCGGCAATCTGCTTTCCGCATGCGGAAGCCCTAAATTCATTTCCGGCGTGAAGTGACAGGGCGAGATGTCCATATTTTCCGATAATAGCAATGTTCTTATCAAAACCGATCAAGTTAAATGCAGGGCAAAAAGGTTGAAGTATCCGATGTTCTGCATATGGATCATCGGACAAAGAACGGGCTGAGCCCACCGATGATCAGTCCCTCTTCTTTATATGTAATACTGATAGCATTTAACGCCCGTCTTTTGTGACCCAGTCCCATGGTCCGTTTCCGTGCATCTTTATCTTCCAGCAGACTATTTCAAGGTCAACGGATCCATTCCTTTTCTCTTTTTTTCCTTTTAAAGGTGATGTAGTCTTTTTGTCACACGATGCGTTTGATCTCTACTACAACATGATAGCTCAACAGTCGAAACGCCACTATACACATTGTTGATTCACAAACATCTCATGAGGCCTGGTCATCAAACACCATTGAACGAACTTCGATATAAATAAAAGACCAGCTTGGCACCCATGACTTTAATAAGAAAGTTCCCGTCCGACATGTCCGATCCTCTATACCGCGCCACAGAGAAGTTTAAGACCATGATCAAAATGAGATCCTGGTCCCCGAAACGAGCGAAGAAGCAACAGGAGGACGGCCGTTGCTACCTAATGGAATTACCCACCGAGCTGTTGCTGGAGATCATATCTCATCTGACAGTGCTGCCGGAGGCTGCGCTTGCTATGACCAACAAGCGCATGTTTGCAATCTCCGGAGAGATTCTACTCTCGAAGTCCCTCCGATTCAGCCGCGATTTTGCACCACTTTTCCATCACTACCGCAATGGACATAACTTCGTCACACCCCGGTGGTCATTCCTCAATTTGTTGGAGAACTCCCGCTGGAAACTATGCTCCAAGTGTTTGAAACTCCACCCTCGGGCTGCATTCTCATCTAGAGAGCTGAGGCGGAAGCCAGAGAACCGAACATGCAATATTGGAGAGTTAGCAGGGGTCGTCGATCTGTGCCCATGCAAGAAATTAACTTTCCGTGACAAACTCGATCTCGCGGATCATGTTCGAGTGCGACAGGTGACGCTGCAAGCCTTGAGATCAGAATTCGGACACGCCGTTGACGACCGCTACTGCTGGCATACATGCACCGAACAGTATGGCCCAACCGAGCTGAAGACATCTTTGTTTCCAGAAATCAATGCCGATAACCAGCTGGTTCTCCGCACGGAATACCAACTCACCACCGAGTCAGGCCAGGTTGGCAAGGAAGATTATATGACACCACGCTTCGGATGTGCACATCGGTCGGTCGACTTGTGGGTCTCGAGCGTTCACCAAACGACTATATGTCGCCTCTTCGACTCTTTCTGCTCATCCTGTCAGCGTATATCGGTCTGCAGTGCATGCCAGACGTCGTTGACATGTCCACGAAAAGCACCATTCCACTCTGAGAATTCTGGCAAAGCGACATATTCATTCTCGACCCAAAGAACCCTCGGAGGGACAGGTCCAGCTCCTGATTCGGCTTGGGGAGTACAGAGAATCCATCCAGCCGAGCCTTCAGTCAGTGTTGAAAACTGCAACGAGCTGTGTCCTTGGACAGTACGCGAACATCCAGCGCTCTCATTCGCGCCGAGTATAGAACAGGAAATTATCGATTCTGGAATAGGTAACCAACCCATTAACCAACTTTACACATATATCAACATGGTTTAACGGTTTTGTTCAGCTGCAAGAGAGGCCTTAGGGGCAAGACCATGAGGAGTTGGAGGACCAATTAGGGTTCATTTCTTCTCATGTTTCCAACATTTGTTAGGTAGTATATACTGTATAGTAAGCGTCGGTTCAGAGCGTTACATTAGTTTCTTGGTTAGCATCAAGTATTTAGGCATAATCTCAAATAATTCAATCATTCAGAACAAACAATGACGGTCACCTGGCTCTTCTTTTGACATCTTTTGTAAGGTCCTTTGTGGGAGTCCCTTGAATATCTCTGTTGTTTTATCCAAGTTCCCCATTACGAAGAACCGAAACCAAAATAAATTTCAACTCGTCAAAGACAACTTATCCATAACTTTTCATCTAGAGGGGTCTAGATGTACCTCGATGGAGAAGAGTCGCGTAATCGCAAGATCCCTTATCAGCTGACCGCCCTGGGGTTTCTCCGGACCGACACGAGGATCCACGCTCACCATCTCGCGCGTTCGACTTAATACTCGGATTATACGAGTATTGTCTCTTTGTCGGGGCGATGAGCTTCCCACCACCTGGTCCCGGCCAATACCCGCATTATTTACCGCCGCCGCAGTATCAGCACGGGCAAATCCCCCCGCCGATACTGTATAGTAATGTCGGTCCTCCTCCCCCATACGATAGCAATGGCAAGCCCGCAATGTACCCTTCGACTATGACACCATATCATTACCCATCGATGTATACTCCACAGCCGCAGCGACAGCAGCAGCAGACGCGTCCTCCTCCGCAAACTCCCCCGCGACAGCCGCAGCAATTACCACATCAATCTCTCCAACCACGGCCACAGCCAGGACCACAGCCAGGACCACAGCAGCTTCTCCCACAACTACAATCCCCCCCTCCACCTCAGCCTCCTCCTCCCCCGCCTCCGCCTCAAATCCAACAAGAAGAGCTACAGCATCAGTTTGTCAATCCGGCTCAACTGTTTGTACAACAACCTCTGCCTACTGCTCCGCGATCCCGATACACTCAACTCTCTCCTCAATATGGCGAGCCACCTTTTGTCCCGAGTGCTAGTCCCCCTAAAATAGCACCGGCTACTTTGCCAGCTCCGCCGCCAGTCGTGCCTGTTCATGTTGCTCCTGCCCCACCTCCTATTAGCCCTAAGCTAAACACCCAAAGAATTCAAGGACAAACCAATATCAATACACCGCAAACACACCCTATTATCAAATCCGAACCCACGCCATCCAAGATCTCTCCCAAAGTAGAGCCTCGGAAAATACTATCTACCCCTATTGCGACGCCGAAACGACCCCAGCCTGCTCCATCACCAGTGACACATGTTACTCCGCAAGTCATGATACCGGCTCCTTCTCCAGTTGTCCAAGCAAGGATCCAAGCCCAGACTCCACAGAAGCAACCTCAACCACAGCATATTGAAAAGAAGAGACAGCAGGCCCCACCAAATGCCGAAAAGCATGGAAAACCCACGCCTGCGAAGTCTATGAAGCCTCCAGTCGACTATCAGGTTTTGCTGTTATCCCTGGCTGATGAATATCTAAATGCTGCTCATGCTCGCGGCACAAGTACATCGTTGGCCGCCCGTGAGGCAGACGTTGAGGAATATTACAAACTGGTTGCTACCGGACTGGGCTGCTTGGAGGCTGTTTTGAAGGTTGGTGAACTGCTCCATTGAAGAAATTTTGCACATATGTTAACCAAGTGATATGATAGAACTGGCGATTGCAACCTCGCAAAGAAGCTCTTGTTAGACTTCGCTATGCGCGTACATTGTTTGAGGAAACGGACAATGACATCGAAGCGGAAACAGCATTGAGTAAAGGGGTGTGTATTTTTCTCCCTCTGTCCCAGAAATAGCCACTAACCTTGAGTAGATCGATCTGTGTGAACGAGTTAGTCAACTGCAACTTGATAGCGAATTTGTTTTTGATCTCTAACTTGTATAGAACCGTATGCTTGACTTGAAATACAGCATGCAGCACCTCCTCGCACGAATGCTCCACAAGAGTAACCCTAAAGCTTCCCTGAAAGCGGTCGATGGGATGATTCAGGATGTGGAAGCGTATGTGCCATTCGACTTTCTTTGACCACGGGATGCTAATAGCTATAGGTACCGCCATGCCGCATGGGAGTACGCATTTCGTTTCCTTCGAGTATCACTCTCGTTGTCATCTCCGTCGCACCAAGACTCCGTGCAAGCGCTACAGCATCTTCACAAAATCACAGCTATGGCTAGCCGTAATGGGGACAAGGCTGTTTCAGCAATGGCGGCTGTCATTGAGTCACTCGCACACTTGCAGCAAGCGACAAATTCCGATTCTATCGAGCAGGCGCAGCGCGCCGTCGCAGCAGCGCGAAGCCATCAGTTGAATGATGAACTTCGCCATATACCTCAACTTACAACCTTAATTCAAATGGTCGATATCTGCTGCAGTCTTCTAGAGTACGACGTCAACCAGTCTGGACAAAAGCTGAAGGTTATGCAGGCTTTGATGGATGAGACGCTCAGCGACAGCAACTGGCGGCCCGATGGGTCATTTTCGGTCCCTCTCAACGGTAAATCCGCTGGGCCGTCGTCCATTGACACAGGTGACATTTTGCAGGTTCATAATGGGACATTACTCTTAAGCTTCAACTGGCTTCCCCAGCACGATCTTTATGCGCTTTGCTATTTCTTAAGCTCAATCACGCTCAGTGCGAAGAACTCATATGATGGCCGGAAAGCAGAGAAATATCTTGAGGAAGGACTTCGAATGGTTCAAGGGAATTTCAAGGCCCCCCAAGAAATTTCTGAATCCATGGTCAATGCCAATCGTCGGGTTCAATGGCGCCAGTCTCTTTACTGCAACCTTCTCCTTCAGCGAGTCTTCCTGGCGTGCGCTCGAACCGATTGGGATCTTGCCAGCCAGACTCTTAACGATCTTCGACAGGTCTTCCAGGAGCTTGGTTCCAACCTTCCGGACACCATCGAATGTCTGATGGAATATGCTGCGGGCACCATCGCACAGGCAACTGGCGATCTCAAGACCGCTCTGGACATATTCCAATCACCAACTTTGTCACTAGATCCCGGTACTAGCAAGACAGGACGCAATGACCCATGTCGTGATACGCGCATCCTCGCCGGTCTCAACACAGTCCTTATCCTCCGTGATCCAAATCACCCATCACACTCCCTGCTAAGCGCCATTCTAGCAACCCTCGAACCCTTCTGCCAAAGCAGTCCAAACAAGTACATACAAGCTGCCTACTTCTTAGTCTGCGCAACCGTTCACTCCGAGTCGACTATTCAAACAAAACAGTACCTCCAACAAGCTCTGCAGTCCGCCACCGCAATCAGCAACAGCCAAATCACCTGCATGACCCTAACATTCATGAGCTGGAAGTACTTCCGTGGCGTGGTCGGCGAGCAAGCCGAGAAAAGCGCTCGAGCCGGCCGTGCAATGGCCAAACGTGCCAATGACCGTATGTGGGCGAGCGTCACCGACGACATGCTGGCTGAGACTCTGGAGCGACAAGGCAAGGGCGAGGAAGCGCAAAGCGTCCGCGAAGAAGGCCAACGCTTAGTCTCGGGTCTTCCCCCTCGTTTGAGACGTCCTGCCTAATTTGCTTTTGTCTATTGATATAAACATGATATACCTTTTTGCTTTCCTAATGTCTTCCCTTGGCGTTTGTTTCAGAACTGTTCCTAGGGAGTCGCTTTACGATACCATTTGATGGCTACTAGGGAAGGCGTTTCACATTTTCTGCGGTTATTGTTCACTCGGGGATGCAAGCCGATAAATGATGTTATTGGCGAATCAAGAAATACCTTTTCGATACCCAACGCACGGAAGTCTACTTAGTGATATAACTGTAGGATTTGTTGACTTGGAAACATTGATAGGATTCACCCTAGGAAGATCATGAATTGCTTCGCTCCCTATACAGAAGAACATCGAACACCCGTCATCCATGCGTAATGTACAAACACCATGGTATAAGCCAGCCTGCAGTCGCAGACACAGGCTCCAGTAGCAGAAGCTGGAGGAAACATAAAAAAAAGCAAAGGACAACTCCATGCCCACAATACGCCAGCAATGTCCTTGAGACTCCTCTCCTTATCTAGAGAATATTGGAAGCCACCATAGCACCGCGAAATTAATATTAAACTCGAAAAAAAAAGCCGCAGAAATCGAAACAGTCAATGGGACAGCTCAACCAAGCCCAGCCCAGACGCCGCGAATTCTCCGCGCAAGCTGGATATCCTTCTGCATAATAGTAACGCGCTTCGCGTGCAGCGCGCAAAGATTTGTGTCCTCGAAGAGGTGGACAAGGAAAGCCTCCGCGGCCTCTTGCAGAGCTTGGATAGCGAATGACTGCCAGCGCAACTCGGCGCCTACGTCGGCGGGGAGGAGATCGAGCGCGACCTCGCGGACTAAGCGCGCAAAGGGCAGTTTAGCGATGAGAAGGTCATAGGAGCGTTGGTAGCGGCGGATTTCTTTCAAAGCGACAGTGCCGGGCTTGTAGCGGCGGCGGCGGCCTGTAGGGGTTGGGTCTCCGGCTAGAGGATTGTTAGAATGAGGTGATTGGGTTCGTAGGGGATTAGTCGCCGAATTGCGCGAGTAGAGCAATCTAAGGTGCTCGTTCTGGATGACGTACGTTGGACGGTGGCACTGGTCTTTGTGACTTTTGTTTGCGATTCTCCCTTCGTCTTGCGTGCTTTGGTTGGTGTCCCATCCCCAGCTGCGACGGGCGCAGCAGCTGTCTTGCGCGCTTTGTTCTTTTGTGCGCTGCCTGGTGCTGACTTGCGGGCTCCCTTGGGCGGCATTGTGGTGGAAGTAAAACGCGCAGTGTGATTTTTTCGGTAGTGGGGTGGTGGAAAGCGATCAATTGGGAGGTTTAGCGCCTAGCAACCAGCAAATTGCCGCGTTTGGGTCGAGATTGTCCCTTGCAGAACCTGTGTTCGAGTATAGAGGAGGCTTAGGCTTGCACACGAGGTTTCAGCTAAAGGGATTGGGATTAGAAATCGTATCTGCTAATAATTTGACAGTTGCGAAGGAATGGCCGGGGGAGCTGTCAATATGAACTATTCCGGTCTTAGCGTCCCAGCCCCCCGTGATTCTCACGTAGCAACGCGTTTCGTGTTGGACACGTGACGATAAACTGGCCTACCTGGTCTTATCTCCGTCATACGTTGGATATAAGCACTTTGTGGAGCTCTCGGTGCTCGTGCTGGTCATTTGCCCTCACTCCTGCTTCTCTCCGGTTTTTGTCTCCGAAGTCACAACCATACACCATGGCTGCCCTCTGGGAGAACAATGGGCAACCAGGCCAGTTTCCCCTGGAGCAATGGTTCTATGAGATGCCACCCGTCACCCGGTGGTGGACGGTAGCCACCGTGGCAACCTCAGTCTTGGTGCAGTGCCACGTTGTGACCCCATTCCAGCTATTCTACAGCTTCCGGTCTGTCTACGTCAAATCACAGTACTGGCGACTACTCACGACATTTCTCTATTTCGGGCCCCTCAATCTCGACTTATTATTCCACGTCTTCTTCCTGCAACGCTACTCCCGACTTCTGGAAGAAACCTCCGGCCGCTCCCCAGCGCACTTCGCATGGCTGATCTTCTATGCTATGACATCTCTCCTCATTATCTCGCCTTTCCTCTCAATTCCCTTCCTGGGCAGCGCGCTTTCATCCAGCTTGGTCTACATCTGGGCCCGGCGCAACCCAGACACCCGTCTCAGTTTATTAGGACTACTGGTATTCACTGCTCCCTATCTTCCATGGGTGCTGATGGGATTCAGTGTGATCGTGCATAAGATCGTGCCGAAGGATGAGATGCTCGGTGTTGTCGTCGGTCATATCTGGTACTTCTTCAACGATGTCTACCCGCCCCTGCATGGTGGCCACCGTCCGTTTGACCCCCCTCGCTGGTGGCGGCGTTTGTTTGAGCCCGCATCTGGGCCCAATGAACGTGCGACAGGTGTCGCTAATGTGAACCGCGAGTTTGTGGCTGCGGCACCCGAGGTTCGATGAGCCATATTGTATTGATCAAGCGTCGCCTTTCAGGAACGAATCTCAAGCTTCCTTGTGCAAACGGAAGTTGAATCTAGACCGCATTCAACACAAGACAGGTCTTGCTGGTATAGGTAGAATCGGTCTGACACTGGTCTTGATCTATGCACGGGAGGGGGCAAGTCTCTGGGTGGTGCTTTTCATCTAACTCCTGCCGGGTGAGAGTATTTGACATTATTCGGCGAGTTTTTGCATGCAATACCGGTTAGTCATGGAAACCGACCACTTTAGAGCTGTGTCTAAAGGTGGTACGACGGATACTAGCGAGCGGTCTGTCCGGAACAGCTCCCTTTTATCTGCTGAAGTGGGACGTTACCCCTTAAACCAGTCCGCTCGATGTGACATGTAAAAGACGCAAGGATTAGGACTCGTTTTCTCTTTTTTTGTTTACAAGAGCGTGCATGTCTTTTGACATTGGAATAGCCATGGATACCCGAATTACTTTTTTATTTTATTACTATATCGCTTGGAGCTGCATGCAGGCGCAGACCTTAAGATGACGACATTTATAAAATGCTCGCCATGACCTCCAGTGCCAAGTACGAGTGCCAAGTACGAGAGCATGACTTCGCTCTGCCCCCTCGAAGTAGTTAACTCAACACCACATGCTTTAAAGTAAAATAAAGTAAAGCAACCCCGTGTGATTGCATGCATTACCAGCCACTATTGAAGCCCCTAACAGAAGGCAGCCATACATGGTCATATGTTTGATCATGCCAAGTCAATTACAGGGCTGTACAGCTTCGATCTTGCATATGCATAGGTAGTATCAACAGGCAGCATAATACTGTTGTAGTCAGCCTCGTCATCTCACCTTATTCAAGTATACTACACTCGATTATTATTAGAAAGAGTCGTTCTAACATGGTTTGAAGGACCACGACGTCAGACTAAGACCACGAGGCAATATACGTCGTACAGCGCCCCGTGCATTTCATGTTTTAGCCCCATATTTCAGTCTAAACCAATATGGTGCTATGAAGCGCTTTTAATTTTAACCCAGGGCGCGCAAGACACGTATATCACACCAGGGCAGTAAATCTCTGTATAGTACATGTATGCTTGCTACGCACATATATATTACCTTGATGATCAATTCATCTATAAAGGTAGATAATCATACTCCGTAGGGTAAAATGTTAACATAGGCGGGCTGCGAGTTAATATCAGATCTGTTCCAAAGGGGTAATTCGTCGCCGTTTTTTTTTACGCCCACATCCCGCTTGTCATTAGCATTGCACGGCAGGTAATCTGCTCAATGTACGGAGTACGGAGGAGTACTCCATAAAATAATAAGCTAGGTTATTAAAGTATATTGAAATTGGGACCTCCCACGTCACATCTGATCTTAGAAAAACTGGAGTAGCTTGAAAATGCCGATCCATGTCGAGGTACCTACCATACCTAAATTGAACCTTGGAATCGAGATACAACGTGGTGAACCATGGGCTTGGATTTGCCACGACCTCGGAATCGTTCTAGGTGGAACGGAAGATTTAAAGTGGCTCTCCAGCAGTTCCCATGGAAATGGAATGTGCTATAATTCCAACATTGTGTGTGCATTTAAGAAGTTCCATCAGAAATGTAATACACTTCAATAAATTTTAATACATATAATAAATACGAATACGCTAATGAGGCCAAAAATGGGGGCAATGGTACGGCCTCTTATCGCACCGTGCACGTCCCCGTTCAGGCGGTGGCGGTTCCACTTGGCGAATCGGTGCCAATTCCTACGTCTTGTGCTAGAATGACCTTGGCCGAGCCTGTGGCCAAGGCGTCCAAGGCTTGGTTCTTTCTTTTTACGCGCGGAGTGCATTCATATAGTGTACTCCCAAGGGATTGTTAGGCCTGATCAAAGGTCTACGTGTGAAATACACGCCACACGTGGCGGTAGCGAGAATACATGACCGTTACAGCCTTTTTTTATCGACTCGGAGTATGCAGGATAATTATTATGTGCCTAGTATAGCCCGAACCTTCTGCTCCGTTAGTTATACTTCGTACTAACGCTTTGTTTTTTTGAACAGACTAGTAAACTAACAGACTAGTGGGTGCAAACTAGCCTCGGCTTTAGAAAGGTACCAATAAAAGACATATCTAAAAAGGACTAGTTCAATACAAACATTCTCGCGTTGGTGTGGGGTTCTTTTCCCCACGGCGCTATATTTACAATACGATGACGAGCCCTTGCGCCAATATTGGGATATTTCAGCGACGTTGAAAGCTATACATTGAGAGATACTTCTATTAGCCGTATATGTATGTAGTGAATATTATATTAGAAACGCAAAAATTTAAAAAGAATGATCTAAGTAATAAATAATCCGAGCCCAAATTCAGTTACGGAATACACCCATACAATATTGGAAGAAAAAAGGTTAAAAAATTTCCCCTTAGTTGGCCCACCGAGAGCCCACCAATCAGAAAACGACCAAGCCGCTTAATCTTGGAACCACAGCCACCCCTTCTGCTCAGCCTCGTAATCTTCTCAACAGCTTTCCTTCCCAAGTTTGCTGTATCGTATTGTTTCCCTCCGTCAGCTTTTTTTTTTTGCCTCAGGATTGCCATTTTTTTTTTAAAACAATCTCCCCTTTCCTCCTTAAGCTTTAGTCTCCCCACTCCCGTCACTCCTTATTATCGTGAACTAGTCTCCCCTTTTAAATACTCTTTTTCTCCCTATTCCTTTTATTGTTTACTATCCGATACATTTTATGACCTGCATTTCCGTACTTTGACTCCTTATCTACGGCCTGAGGGTCTGTGAAACTTGATACGACTTTACGACTTAACAAATTGGGGGTTCAATTGGTTACGCTTCTCCTATATTTTTGTCCTTCGCCTTCATCATGCGGCGCGGTCTCTTGATCTTCATCCTCGTCAACCTCCTTATCCTCTCGTTGCTCGTCCGCAGTGTCTCGACACTTCTGGCACTACTATTCGAAGATGCCGCTGCCGACGCTATACACCGCGCAGAGTTGCCCTCGCCGAATTCCAGCCTGATCGAGCATCGCCCACAGATCATTCCAAAGATCATTCACCAAACATACAAGAATGAGACTATTCCCGAGGTCTGGGCAGAAGCTCAACAGAGTTGCATTGACTTACACCCTGATTATGAATATATTGTACGTCCATGTCCCCCACCCCGACCTGTCTAATTCAACGTTCCTAACGTATGTGGTTAGCTTTGGACAAACGAGAAATCACGAGACTTTATCGCCGCCGAATATCCCTGGTTCTTGGACACCTTCGATGGCTACAGTTATCCTATTCAGCGCGCAGATACTATTCGATACTTCATTCTCGCACACTTCGGTGGAACATACATTGACCTCGACGACGTAAGTATACCCCCGGAATACCGCAGTGGTTCGCTCCTAACCGCATGAAACAGGGATGCAACCGTCGCTTAGATCCCCTTCTCGCTTATCCCGCCTGGGTACGCCGTACCGCACCCACTGGTATCTCCAATGACGCCATGGGCTCCGTACCACAGCACCCATTCTTCCTCCGTACGATCGAAGTGCTACAGCAGTACGATCGCCATTGGCTCCTCCCATACATCACGGTCATGTATTCAACCGGACCGCTGTTCTTGTCCGTCATTTGGAAAGAGTACATGCGCGAGATGCCGAGCGAGGCTGGGCGCGTGCGCATCCTAATGCAGGATGAGTACAACCGGTTCTCTTGGAGCTTCTTCACCCACCACCGGGGTAACAGCTGGCACGGCAAGGATGCGCACTTGATCTTCTGGGTAAGTGACAAAATTCTGGTATGGAAATATTGAACAATGCTAATATCTTGTAGATGGGTCAACACTGGGTTTTCCTCACCATCTGCGGCTTCCTCCTTGCTGGAGTCGTTGGATTATGCCTCTGGTGGAGCTATGGGCGTGTCATGCTCTTGGGAGCCAAGTACCGCTACCGCTACTCCAAAGTGCCAAACATCATCAACCCGTCGCGACTCTCAGCGTCGCCAACCCGACGCTCGCGACTCTCAGTCCCGACACTCCTGCGACGCGTCAGCTTCAAAGAAGACGAAGAAGCTGGCGGGGTTACAGAAACCTCGTACGAACTCGGACGTCGCGATGATTAGAGATCTAGAGATTGACTTCTCGACCCGCAACTTCGCCATTTTGCAGCTTGTGTATTTGTCTGTAACGATACGGCCCCGGACATGATCTCTGCATCAGCATTTATTGTACAACTTTTGCTCTTTCTTGTGTTTACGAGCGCATTATGCATGGTGTCTCAATCCTGCGACAGGATCCTGGATTGAATGCTCACCTGGAGCAATTGGGTTTGCTTTTTGGACATGTGCGCAGAACCCCAGTGTCTGTGTCGGTTATATTTCACTGTCCCCTATTATTATTTTTCCCCTATTGATTTGTAAACAAAGTTAGATTTCGCTTCTCGGGAGACAGTGAAATTATATGGACATACCTCTATGCACTCGGACTAGATATCTCCGGGGGGGGATGATGAATCAATAATGCCTTTCACACATTTTAAGCATAAAATCTGAAGTAGACTGGAATTATATCTCGTACCCTCCAGTCTGAGGTCTGATACGTCAACCCCAAATAGCACCTGATCCTGAAACCCTAATTTCTCCCTCCAATGGCAACACCGTGCCTTGCATCGACAAGCTTTCCAAGTGGTCCTATCAAATCCGGGGCTTTGGTCTTTTTTTATAAAAAGGAAAGTAGTACAGGGTGGAGCATGTTTTCAATGTTCTTAGTAAATAGGTTATTTAGTGTTCATCCTTAATATTGCCCCCTGCCGTCATCCCACATACTTCAGTCCGCGCCTAGCATTCTCCGCGTCTAGTCTACAATGTACATGCTATTGACGGGGTATCTTCCCTCTGCCTCCCTTTTGTATGTCCCAGCTGGCTCAGACAATGTAGACCCCTGTTTCATACACTGTCTGCCTCTTACAGACATGCGCGAGGACTTATAAAGACGACCTACTTCATGCCCTTTAGTCCCACCAAAGAATCAAGATTTCTCTCTATACTATCTATCTATAAAGGCCATTCATCCTTGGCTCTGGAACCCTATGTGATATAGTTACGCATTAACCCATCGCCCATCTTTCCTATATCTACTCCATCCACACACGATAACAAAATGCACCTCCAAACCCTCCTCCTCTCTCTAACCCTAACCCTCACCATCCAAACAACCGCAACGCCAATCCCATTCTCCCTCTTCACCCGCGACAATGCCCTAACAGAATCCCAACTCATCGCCATCGCCCCCACATCCAAATCCTGCACCGACGCCCCAGCAGAAGGCGAATGCGCCACAGCAAAGCAAGCCGCAAAGTACACCTCCCAAGCCTTCGACACCTATAAAGTAACCTCCAAAGCCGAGCAAGCTGCCATAATCAGCACAATGGCTTTTGAAAGCGGTGGTTTCAAGTATAACAAGAATCATTTCCCGGGCGTGGCTGGGCAGGGCAGTACGTAGCCCTAATTCTTGTCCATCCAACCTCTACATCCATATATTAACCATATTCTTATCTTCCAGCACGCAACATGCAATCTCCAGCCTACAATAAAAAATACGCTTCCTCCCTGCCGGAACTGAAGGACAAACTCCCCAGCGTTAGTAACAGCCCGGCAGAGCTACTCGATCTCCTGCGCAACGATCCTGTTACGGACTTTGGCTCTGGAGCTTGGTTCCTTACTACGCAGTGCTCGAAGGAGGTGCGGGCTGCACTTGCTGATGGCTCGGAGATGGGGTGGCAACGGTTCATCTCGGATTGTGTGGGGACTTCTGTTACCGATGAGAGGAAGGCATATTGGGAGAGGGCTGTTAAGGCGATTGGGGTTTAGGGCTTGAATGGTATAGAGTTTGGGTTTGGGTTAGAGAGTTGGGTTTACAATTGAGTTTTGATTTGGTTTGCTTGTGTTCTCGGGGCTGGTTCTTCGATGTTGCGTTGATTACTCTATTTGTCGGGTTGGACATTTGATGTTTGATATTTAATGATTGATGGTTTATGGGAATATATAGGATTATGTTATGCGATTGTAATGAACTTCTTATTGGAAAGATCCGATCTCATTGCGTTTCATTTCATAGCCAGACTGCACGCTCTATAATTGGAACTATGTAATAGTAATACGTGGACCACGCTGTATCTCTATCTCATCTCATTCATAAACAATTTTATATACCGAAATCTCTGGGCAAAGTTTTTACAAAACACCCTTAGTGCTGACAACATCACCAGCACCAACATCACCCGCAACCCTGCGCTTACAAGCATTGCGAATGGCAACAGCAAGCGCCTTGAACGCACTCTCCGCGCGGTGGTGATCGTTATCACCATATGTACAACCAACATGCAATGTAACGCCCGCCGCCTGGGCAAAGCTCTGCAAGCCATGAGTGATCATTTCAGTGCTCAAGTCACCGATCTTCTCGCGCCGGAAGCCCAAGTTAATAACAGCCCACGGCCGGCTCGAGAGATCAATCACTGCCCATGAGAGAGCCTCGTCAAGAGGTGCATCTCCACGGCCGAATCGCTCGAGAGATTGTCGTGCGCCAAGTGCCGCTGTGAAGGCTTCGCCCAGTGCGAGGAAGGTGTCTTCTGTTGTGTGGTGGTCATCGACTAGGTGGGTTAGCAACAGCATTCTATATAGGGGTTTGATAAGGTGTTCAGGGCGGAACTCACTGTATAAATCACCCTTTGCCCGAACTGCAAGACTCATCCCGCCGTGCTTGGCAAGTGCGTGCAGCATGTGGTCTAGGAAGCCGATGCCTGTGCTGATGGTGATTTGCTGGGTCGGGGTGAATTGTGTGGCATGACCGGCATCTTTAGGGGGAACAATGCCTTTCTTGGAGGCTTCCGCTTCTTCGGGGTCTGTTGGGGCGGGGAAGTGGGTGGAGGGTTCGTAGGGTGGGAGGACACCGCCATCTAGGGAGAGGGAGATTTGGATTTTGGTCTCGTTGGTGGACCGTGAAATGGTCGCGGTGCGTGCGGCGAGGACCATTGTGAGTTTAAAATTTTGTGTAGGTCGAATTGACTGGGAATTTAATTGAGTCAGTGCTTTGTAGATGGTTGCGATAATCGGATATCTTTTTTGTCTGACTCGTCCGCTGGAGAATCGTTGATCCGCATTTTACAGTATGGGGAAGATACAACTTCAGATCGTAAGTTGAACAGGTTTTAAGACACTGGCTGGTCCAGACTTTCATTCTTGACATCCTTGATATCAATACTATCTTCCATATTTCAATTAGTGTCCAAAACACACATCTTCCTTTGAGCATTGTCTTTACTTTGTTTATCGTCTCGCCGAACTCGGCTTCGATAAGAAACATCCATCCCGAGGTCTCAATTTGTTTCGCAAGACAGACTTGTGGCTCTTGCTCACCACACTCGCAACTGTAAATATCAAAATGCCAGCACCATCCAACAAAAGTGGCGGCATTGAACCCCCGGAGGAAATCTCCTGGATAGCCGCTCAGGGCTTCATGACCGGCGTGTTCCGCGTAAGAAGCCGGACCTTCAACTAATATAGCCCTAGTGCAATCGCTAATCTCCTATAGTTTGGCTCTGTTTCCATTCTAGCTCATATGATTCTTTCCCTACCCCACCCCTTCGTCTTTTCCGCACCAAGTCCGCCCGCGTATCCCGCGACACAACCCCGTCCACGCATTTCTATCTTCTCTCGCGAGTATCTTCGCTCACGACTATTCCACCGTCCCCTGGAGGGTTTCTCAAGCTGGGTATCCCCTGGGTCCCGTGTCTACCGCGGTCTAACGCCGCAGTTTAAGGTATTCCTACAAGTTGCGGCTATGACCCTGGGCGGTTGTATTTGGCAAGAGAAACGCGTGACGGAATATATTGAGCTAGTTCGACGGATCAAACGCGCGGAGCGAGTGGAAGCTGAAAGAGCCGAGGGTAATCGTCGATAAAGAGCTTCAAGAGATATCGCCACTTTTTTTCAACAACGATATGAGCTTGGAGCTTGGAGCTTTCCACCGAACACAATACATCTGTTTTGTCGGAATCTCCAGATCAGCTGAATCTTTATTTCCCAGTCCCCTGTAAGACCTCGCATAATTGGGGCGAATACTTTGTAGCTGCGTTCATCAACTGATGAATGAATTTCGTCACCGATGACGCCAGGTTGGGGATTTTCCCCCTAATTACGCTGATCTATTGTGATCTCCTTTTGGGCCACGACGTCCCTATGGAAGTTACGGAAGCAGCATCGTGGAGTGTAAATGCCGATCATACTTTGGGGGTGGATCCTAAGATTGAACCTATATGTTAATTACAGTGTAGATCGTATAAGGGGTAGCTTCTTAAGGTCTGTCTAAAGACCAAGGATGATATCCAACCAAAGGAGGTCACCGAAGAAAAGTTTTCTCACTAATCCCTAAATGCCTAGCTATATCGGCGCTATAGTACGCCTCCTACGTGGATCTGTACCTTTTCTACGGAAAACTCCGTTAGATATCTGAAAAGTCAACCTCGTGTCTTGGGGTTCTTTTCTTTGGGTATAAATAAGCGGGCATATCTAATAGTGATTTAATTTAATAGCTTATGATTATTAGCAAGCTTAAATAAAGAATATTAATTAAATAATAATATTAATTTAGAAAAAAAAAAAAAAAAAACAAGAAAAAGAGAAGTGGAAAAAATATCCTGAAACATCTCTCGATCGTTACAGTTGGACTGCATCCGTCCATTTCTCTATTCCTCCTTTTCCTTTACTCTCTGAGGGTTATCCCTGTGGACACTGTTTTCATTTCATTTCCGCAATCAGATTTCTTCTAATCTGATCTTCCAAGATTATAAGGAAGACCTATCAAATCACACTTATTTGCCTGATATCACCGATATTGTGGATTCCCCATTCCGCAACCATCACTTTTCACATTGTTGATCTGTGTCTAGAGTCCTAGATAAAATCAGTTCTACAATACTTTTCCTGTCTTTTAGCAATTGCTAATTGCTTCTCATGGCGCTGTGACAGTTTGCAGTATGTGTGACCCTTTCCCCTCATTCTTTCTCCGCTTCATGCTTCCTCACTTTATTGCCCGCCATGACTTTCCAAGCTAATTGACCTAGTACAAACGACGTTGAGGTCGTCAATGGGATAAGCTTCCTTTCTCAGTACACTCGCGCCGCTACTCTTCCACCTTACCCAATTTCCCCCCTCCCCCCTTCCCGAACCCGACATGGCTGAAATCATCGGCAAACGACAACGGAGAAAGAGCCTGAGCGTGTTCAGTCCATCCCTCACAGTATCAACCTCCCTTCGACCTCCACTACATGACCGAACACCTTCGGATGATACCTTGACCCGAGACAAGAAAAGCCGACGGAATTCTAGCTTCTTTGGCCGCTCTCACAGTCCCAACAGAGGGGATGGATCGAATAACCGTCGCCCTGGGACAGCAGGCTCCGACACCGGCGGCCGGTCACCATCTACACCCGTTATTGAAACCCCTCGCCCGCGGAGGAAGTCTCTGCAGAAAAAGCGAACCTCGGTTTTTGGATCTCTGAGGTCATTACACTCATGGGAGGATGATGAACCTATAAGTGCCTCCATCGATGCGGTGGCGGATGACCAAACCATGGCCAGTCCCCGAAATGGGATCTGGTCATCTGCCATTCTCCACCACGGGGAAGTTCAGACGACTGGGGGCATGTGGAGGAAAAAGAGTCAATATTTGGTCCTCACGGACACGCACCTCATTCGTTTCAAGAACCAAAGCAAAGCCGCCGATGTTTTTGGTTCTATCCCCGCTTCTTATGCCCGGGCTCCAGCTTCCCATCGCCAATCAATCGCTTCAGTCAGTTCACTGCAGGACATGCAATTAATGGCTACTACAGATTCATCTGGTGGGATCCCATTAAACAGCATAATTGCAGTCTACATGTTGGAGGATGCACGATTATCCCCGTCGGTTGAGGTGGCATATCTTGATGAGCGCACGCATAAAGCTACATTAGTTCAGATGCAAACATCTGATCTGCAAGAATTGAACCTTTGGATGGTGGGTATTCGTCAAGCTGCCCAGATGGCTAGAGCAAATTTTCCAATGCCGTTTAGCAGGGGATCGATTGAGTATGTCACTCGCATGCTAGAACACGAGCGAGATTATGACCCGGAGGTGTTCCGCATGTTCCGGGTCATTCAAATCGCCTCCAGCAAGTCAATAACCCGCTCTTCCTCCGACGACCTAACCAAGTTGTCGCCCACGGGCTGCTACCTTGCCATTGGCGCACACAAGCTTCATCTGCTTCCCATGCAGAAGACCACCAATCGATCATCGGTCGTATCCCTATCAGACTGGGAATCTGGTACATCGTTTGGTCTGATGAACCTCACTGGTTTGTCAATGGAGTACGGTGACGACAGCCTGCATCTTACCTTTAGGGTTCCTCTCAAGAAGTCATTCAATGTGTTCCTCGCCTCTGTTCACTCTGTTGAAGTCGCGTGCTGGATCCGACAACATACTGAATATCTCCGTCCATTGTGGATAAGACAGCCGTACGAATTCGTGGTTCCAAAGGAACTGCAAAATGACGACAACTTCCCACCTGTTGCTCTAGACGAAGATTATGGATGCTTCGATCGAACGTTGGTCGCCTACTCCGCCAGTTATGATATCGACACGTCAAATATTCGATACACAATCGACCAGGAATGCGAGGATGCGCCATGCTTCCGTCTCCTGAAGCCTGCTTCCCCCAAAACCCCGCGGTACACAGCTCTAGAACTCATTGCGGTCATGCGCGCACTTCGTTATAATGAATTCTTCCGGTCAATCTCGTTCCGCGGGGTCAATCTTGATGCATTGCAGGGCCTTCGTGATGTTCACGGGGTGGATCCTGACGTCCATCTCGACCGAGGAGGCGCCTCCGTACACATTCCAGGCCAGGAAAATCTGACTGTTCTCTCGCAAGAGGTGCGAGCTTTAACTTTAAAGAGTAAATGGCTACGCCGACTTGACTTCTCTTACTGCCTTACACGGATACCGATACAAACTCTCGACAAGGGTACTCGTGACCCAGGGTGTGGGATTCCAGAAGCTATCTTCCCCGTGTGTCGCCGAGAATTGACCAGCGTGGACTGGGTCGTGCTCAACGGCATCAAGCTGGGGGAGTCGGATCTAGACTATCTCGTCGATGCGGCGTCCCAAAGGCGTAGTCATCTACGAGCTTTGGAGGTCGGGGACTGTGGATTATCTGTGCATGATTTAGACCTTCTTTTATCTACTATCATCGCGCAAGAATCAACACTTGAGGCAATCAACATATCAGGCGTGCAGGGCCGATTGAACCCCGATGTACTCCAGCAATACATCGGCTACTTCGGACAAATACGAAAAATCAACTTGTCTCGCATCTCACGGACATCCGGCGCTGACCCGCTCATCACGGCCGAAATGCTGTTTAACTGGCGACTGGAAGAGCTGGCTCTCAGTCGGACAGCTTTGAACCGCGAGACTGTGGATGCCATTGCTACTTACCTGGCTAGCGATCGTTCTCGCAATCTTCGTGTGATTCGCCTTGATCAATGTGGCCTAACCGGAGAAGACGTGGCGATGTTTATGCACTCGATGTCCGTTGGACCCGATGCCCCGCGGAGTCTCCATCTGCATGTCAATGAGAACCGTCTTGACAATGGCTGTTCGCATATTTTCAACGCTATTACGAAGAATCAAACTCCCTCGCACCTGTCAATGCGCATGATTGATTTCAAGAAAGAAGACCATTTCCGTCAAATGGTTGAATCACTTCGGAAGAACAGCACCCTCAAGTTCCTCGATATTTCGAAGGCTTCCCTCCCATACGACGCTAGCCCTGAAACCTGCCGATCGTTGCAGGTAATGCTCGAGGAGAATGAGACTCTTGAGGCTTTAGACATAAGCGGTGACAATGCGCACCTCGATGTTGCACGCTTTGGCATTGGCCTCAACCTCGCGCTGACTGGCCTGAAGAAAAACAAATCTTTGAAGGTCCTGAGAATTGAGCACCAGAAACTCGGTCTTCAAGGTGCGAATACGCTTGCCTCTGTGTTAGAGGAGAATGATTCGCTGCGTGAAGTACACTGTGAGAACAATGACATCAATCTGCAGTCCTTTACGGTGTTGGTCAATGGGCTGCGGTGCAACCGCTCCCTTCTCACACTCTCCTGCATGAACCGGGATCGAACCCTGTCACTGGATAAAGTACGCCGAGAGGTTGATAGTGTTCGATGGGAGTCTAGCCACAGCAACCAAACTTCCACGGCGAACTCGGTTCGTCGCTCTCTGTATGCAGCGATGAGCGTTGGCCAAGGGGGGCAAGGACACAGACTGAGCAAAGCGCCGCCACCTAGTGTCGCCTCAGCCTTGGAACATTCTCCATTCGCCAACCACAACGTTGAATTAGTCATGCGGTCTCTGAACGAGAGATGGGATACGGAAGTGGCCCGGCTTAATCGATACCTCCGCCGCAATTACAATATTGCCCATGGGATTGAGGAAATTGATGATGATGCTGCCAGCGATGGACGGCCCGGAACAGCAGCGAGCCTGGGCACGATGCTTGACAATCTCAAATTCGATGTGTCCGTGTCGGCAGATGAGATCCGAGCGTCGTCACTGCCGGACGAGTCCCCTGCTGCCATCCAACTCTCGGAGACGTCCGACACCCCATCACAGTCGTCAAACATCGAGTCCACCTCCGTGCAGCCAAAACGCCTTCCATCCGATACCCGCCGCCCTCACACCGCTCTTCCTGCACAATTCGCTCCATCCGGTCATGGTTCGTCAACCCCAACCTCTCGTCTAGCTATCCCGGTTCCAGCTGTACCCCCAGCGGTCCGAAAGGCCGAGAGCGTCCGTAGTGCACACAGTTCTTCCAGCAATGCCTCAATAGGTGCCGGCAGTACGCGAAGCGCCTACGGCGTCGCTTCGTCTACCCTAAGAGGCTTCCTCAGCGGCACCGCGTTGAGGGAACGTCGCCGTGCGGATGCAGTGCGTCCCTCGCATGTGTATATCAACAGTGACAAGCCGCCTCAGCTAGACTGGTCACCACCAAAGGTTGACTTGGGAGAGCTGCAGTAGCGTTCCTTACGCCCATCAAGATACATCCTCTTCTACCTTGTACAGAATCCTCCATACCTCACCAGCACGAAACGCAGCCTGGCTCTCGCAGTACATATACGACGAACCAGGTTTCGGTTGCACACCCTTACCATTCCTCTCCTTCTCCCTGTGAACCATATTTTTTTTTATCTTACTCATTAACTCATAACTCATTAACCCACCCCTCATCCAATTCCCATTTCTCGAAACCGACCAGTCGGCACTGATACCCTGGCGTTCCAATTTCTTTTTACAGAGACACCGCATTCTCCGGGCGTTCTATACTCATTACTCATTTCCATTTCCCAATACCTCTTACCAACGCAATCGATATCCACCTATTTGTTTTATCGAGCCCTCGTGCTTTTCTTTGCTTTTACACTATTATTGGAAGATTTCGTCCTCATTTTGCGGCTTAGTCGCTTGCGTGCATTAATGTTTATTCGGGGGTTGGGGCTTTGGGCTATTCGTTATTCATTTTGATGGTGTTGTCTTTGCTCTTGCTCCTCGGTCTGGCTTGAATACTGTTTGGATAGGCATTAAAATACCATTATTCCTTTCCATTTTCTGCTGAAACTTCGTAGTCGTATCTGGAGAGTTGCATGGTATAAAATATATTTGTACATCATTGAACACCCATATGTATCCAACCAAAACCCTAGAACGTATCTAGCCCAACTATGTAATGAACGCCACGAATGTATACCTAGACTATCTCAAGATACAGTACAGGAAAAATGCGAAGAAATTAAATACTTTACAACAGGGATTCCAACCTCCCCCGATTCCAGGACTTCCAGGACCTAGACCTCCATCTCACTAGAATCCTTATAAACAAGAATTCCACGGTCACGATCCTGTTTATCCAAACGTTTCCGCCAAGCACGCCCTCTGTTCGTAACCTTTTGCAAGTTCGTGAAAAACACATTGGAATGGTCTTGCACGTTCTTTCTCAAAGCCTGGTTTCGACGATTTTTAAGTAATCGCAGAATAGTATTGCCCTCCTCCACATCAAGCTCGTTGAGCTCGTAGTTAATCGACCATCGGTCAGACGGGGTGAAATATGACGGCCGCTGCACTGGAACTCCGTTCACCTTGCTATTCACCATGAGTGTCATAGCTAGCAGGTTCTCATCGTAACCGTCCCACTTGGCGGGCTCGGGCTTGTTTTCGGCGTCTTTGGTCTTGGGCTCCGCTTCCGCTTTCACTTCGGGCTTGGGGGCTTCTGGTTCGGAAACAGAGGCGTCGGACAAGATGGTGGATTCTGGCGTCTCGAACTCGCCTTCCTCGCCTTCCTCGCCTGCCTCGACGAGGCCGTCAGCCGGGTCTACTGGGTAGAGGGCGTCTGCAAGGGAATCGGCGAGAGATTTGGTTTTGGGCTTCTCGTCTGTGCGGAGGCTTTCGCCTTCAGGCTTAGATTCGGCTGACTCCACGCTCTCGCTTTCTTCGGGCTGATACTTGTCCGGGTTGAAGAGGCGGTCAGTGAAGTCATCGATTTGGGCTTGATTCTTTGACTGGATGGCGTCGATTTCTTCGTTCGTCACGGGCTGGGCGACGATGTACATGAAGGGTGTTGGACCATCGCGTGTCTCGAAGTGGAAACGCAGAGACTGTTTGGGGAATCTCTGTGTTGCCTTGTCTAGGATTTTCTCCCACAGACCAATACTCAGTTCGAATTCGGCGTTTCCGAGCTCGACGTTGTCCTGGCCGTGTAAAGCCTGATCCATCTCTCCGAGAGTGATGTATTGGAAACCAAAGATGCGCTCGACGTTGTGATACGCGACGAAGATGCCGTCCATGCGGCCAACGCGCACCTGCAGGGAATATTTGAGGAAGGCGGCGCGGATCATGTCGAAGTATTCGCGTTCATAAGACTCCCACTTACCAAAGCGGCGTCTGATCTCGTAGCCCATTCCGCGCTCGTGTGAGGTGGGTTCCATGCGGATCGAAACTACTGCACGTGTTTTTAAGTCGAACATGCCAGTACCTGGTAACCTGGGATCGTAGGCGTCGAGTTGCCCTCGCAGGAGGAAATTGCCCATGGTGCTGTAGTGGTATGACTCCGGGACGCTTGCTTCTTCCTCTGCAGTGATCTTGTTCGCATCGCTTCGGCGGTAGCGCTCAAACTTTTCTTTTGGCAGCGTGAGTTGCTTCTCCATTGACTTGCCCAGGTGCATAAGGATATTAGCCGAGTCATATTCCTTGTCGGCATCAATGGCGTAAATATCATCAGCCTCATTATAACGGAGGAACATGGCAGTCGGTGCTCGAAGGAGACGGGTGAAGTTGCGTGGAGTTTCTCCAAACCCTTGTGTCAGTTTGGAAATGTCGACAGGCCGCCACGCAGACAGAAGGAAATGGAAATGAGAGAGAACCGAAGTCATGCTCGACGATGAGCCGTAGTACTTCTTTTTATTTTTCTTGGTTATTTCGCAAGCCGTCACATCTTTAGAGGAGGTGATATACGGCTTCAGAGTACCAAAGTCAAACTCCGATACGGGCATGATCTGGTCAAGGTAGGGGTCGAAATTGTAGACACGAGTCCGATGGTCACGTAGCTGGTAGACACCGGGACTGTCTGCTATTAGTATATCGATTGATAACAGGGTAACCTGAACAACTCACTTGAAAAGCACTCGGTCAAGGCCAAAGGCGACGCGTGGGACAGGAGCCATGGGGACACGCACCTCTTCAGTATAAAGTTAGCCAACTTTCAATAGATACATGCCAAAGATTGAAACTCACCTTTCATGCGCAGTTCTGGGTCCTTTGACTGAAGAGCCCCGCGGTCCTTGGACAAAAAGTTAAGCTTAAGGAAAGAAAGGGGCTCATCCACCTCCTTCTTCTCCTCCATCCCCTCTTCCAAATCCGCCTTCTCCTCCATCTCCACCTTTAATGATGGCTTATTCGGACTTTCAACACCGTTCTTGGAGCTGGTTTCCAATATCTGAGCCACCGTATTGCTCGTGGACTCCGAGTTGCGCGTCTTCTCCAGTTCACTGACTGCTGGCGTAGCTGCTAGACCCTCCTTTCCCTTTAACATTTTAGGCTCAAGTTTGGCATTAGCCAGTCGTTTTTCCTCCTTGCTTTTCGACTTTCTTTCCCTTCTGGCTTCTTCCGTTGCCATTCTCTGATGCAAGGCCTTGACTTTTTCTGCTTCCACCCGTGCTGCCTCTGACGGGGTTGGCTCTGACGGGGTTGGCTCTGACGCTGCCTCTGACGGGGTTGTCTCTGACGTTGCTGCTTCTGGCTTTGCTGCTTCTTGTTCTGCTAATTTGGCTTCCCCCATTGCAAGCTCCACTGCTTTCCGAAGTGTCGTTTGCCCATTTGCGGTGATTGAATCCTTGAACCTTTGGTACAACTCTGGGTGCCTCCTTTTGTAATTAGTTCGTTGTGAGTTGGTCATCTGATCCCATACAGCAGCAGTGAGTTTTCTCGGTGGAATAATATGCCGCCTTGGGGATTTCTGGGATTCGGAAGAAGCCGCATCTTGCGTCTCTGGAATCTGACTCTATATCACACTCTGTCAGGCTTGTTCTCACGTTGTACTTTGGAATGGACATACATTAGGCGGCAATGGCGCTGAGGGCTCAATCGACGCGTCAAACAAATCGGCCGGCTTGGTTTCGCCTATATCGATACGGAGTGCAGATATGCGGTGAAACTGGCGCAAACCAAGCGCGCCAGGGCGAGCTAAACAGGAGAGACAAACATGTCGGCTCGAAGGGCCTGACACAGACCGCAAAGAGGTCCGAAGCATTCAGATCAACGGTCAAGGGATAATTTGGGAAAGGATATAGACAATTCCTCGAGGTGTATATCGAGACAAGAATTCGAGAACTCAGGCGGCTGTCAACGAGCCACCCGGGCGAATTGCCTCTCCGGTTTTTTTTTCTGCCAGATAATTGGGGTCACCGCTTTGTTATCTTGGTACCTGAGGCAATATCGGAGAGACATCTGTACATGTATGTAGTTATAGTAGGGAATTGTATATTTTGAATTTTTATATATGTTTTATATTTCAATTGGAAGTGCATTAAAGTTTTATAAAACTATTTAATGTTTTCTAAACTTATAAAGGGTATTCATTGTAGTATTCAGTGTATAGAATCTTAATACTGTACCCTTATCTAGTCAAAGGGTAGTACATGTATACTACATATAGTATATGATATAAAACATATAAAATCATAAACTATCAAATATATTCAATTCAATCAAATTCAATTCATTCGATTCCAATTCCAATTCTTATGTCCGGCCGAGATCGCTAGAATACTGGGGTCGGAGAAACACCCAGCCGGGCAGAAAAAAAGTTGAATAAACTTTAACACTTTTGAACTTCTCATTCTCGCATACTAAGTTGTTATAACTTGCTTATTAGGTCTCCGTGAGGTAAGTAAAGTCTTGATTTTCTTGTTATGAAGTGTTTACCAATTGTCCACCCCATCCCATTGCTCTATGACTCACTTTTTCCTTGAGGAGGGGCACTACCTATATACCCCGCGGGGATTTCCTATCTACTTGCTAACACCACCATAGTCGAGACCTTGCTCCAACCATGGCCTCCGAACAATTGCGCATCCTCATTGTCGGCAATGGCGGCCGTGAGCATGCCTTCGCCTGGAAGCTGAGCGAGTCCCCCTTGGTCGACATCATCTATGTCGCTCCCGGAAACGGTGGCACTGCCCGGGGCAACAGCAAGATCACAAACGCCAATGTCAAAGGCGATGACTACCCTGGCCTCGTGGCATTTGCGCAGAAGAACCAGGTGAACCTCGTTGTGCCAGGCCCCGAGGCACCTCTCGTTGATGGCATCCAGGGATATTTCCAGGCTGGTGAGTCACATGTTTCTTTTTTTTTTTAAAAAATAAAAAAAAAGAAAGAAAGATATTTTTTACCTTCTGTCCCCCGTGCCAATTGATTTGAATAATTCTAACAATACCTCTCAAAAACAGTCGGAATTCGATGCTTTGGTCCCTCCAAGGCTGCTGCCCGCATGGAGGGCTCCAAGACCTTCTCCAAGGACTTCATGCAGCGCCACCAGATCCCCACTGCCGAATTCGGAAATTTCTCTGATTACGAGTCCGCACGTCGTTATCTTGACTCTGTGTCACACAATGTGGTGATCAAGGCCGATGGCCTGGCTGGTGGTAAGGGTGTGATCATGCCCACTACCAAAGAGGAGGCCCACAAGGCCTTGAAGGAAATGATGGTGGACCATCAGTTCGGCAAGGCTGGCGACGAGGTCGTGATCGAGGAGTGCTTGGAGGGTGATGAGCTTAGTATCCTCACTTTCAGTGACGGTTACACCATCCGCTCGCTTCCTCCAGCGCAGGACCACAAGCGCATCTTCGATGGCGATCAGGGCCCCAACACCGGTGGCATGGGTTGCTATGCGCCTACTCGCATTGCACCGAAGGAGGTTGTCGATGAGATCGACCGGACCATCATTCAGCCTTCCGTTGACGGAATGCGAAAGGACGGTACGTTTCTTATTAAATTATACATGCCCAAAGCATGTTGCTAATCCTGTTCAGGCTTCCCCTTCGTTGGTATCTTGTTCACCGGTCTCATGATGACCAAGAATGGACCCAAGGTCCTTGAATACAATGTTCGTGGCGGAGACCCAGAGACCCAGACTCTGCTGCCCCTGCTGAGCAAGGACACCGATCTTGCACAGATCATGGTGGCCTGTGCTGACCACTGGCTGGACGGTGTCTCCATCAAGATCGAGCCCAACTTCTCCACTACCGTCATTGCTGTTGCTGGCGGCTACCCCAACGCTTATGCCAAGGGCAAGACCATCACTCTGGCTCCTGAGCCTGCTGGAACCCTGATCTTCCACGCTGGCACAACTTTGTCTGGCAACGAGTTGCAAACCTCTGGAGGCCGTGTAATCGCCTCCACAGCCACTGCCTCGACCCTTGAGGAGGCCGTTGCTAAGAGTTACGAAGGAATCAAGACCATCAGCTTTGAGGACATGTTCTACCGCAAGGACATTGCCCACCGCGCTTTCCGCCAGACCACCAGCACCTCGCTCACCTACGCCCAAGCCGGTGTCTCCATCGATGCCGGCAACGAGCTCGTCAACCAGATCAAGAGCTCTGTCCGTCGTACCAAGCGCCCCGGCACTGACGCCGTCATCGGTGGATTCGGCGGCCTATTCTCCCTGCCCGCTGCCAACTCCGCTTACCACCCTCACTCGCCAACCCTAATCGGAGCCATTGACGGTGTCGGTACCAAGCTTAAGATTGCCCACTCAATTGGCATCCACGACACTGTCGGTATCGATCTCGTCGCTATGAACGTCAACGATCTCGTTGTCCAAGGTGCCGAACCCCTCTTCTTCCTGGACTGCTACTCCTGCGGTCACCTTGACGTGCCCACCGCTGCGGCCTTCGTCACCGGTGTTGCCGAGGGCTGTGTCCAAGCCGGCTGCGCCCTGATCGGTGGCGAGACCGCCGAGATGCCTGGTCTCTTCGTCGACGATTCCTACGACGCCGTCGGTGCTGCCGTCGGTGCTATCAACACCACGGGCGACAATGCTCGTGCCATCCTCCCACACACAGAAAATATGCGCTCCGGCGATGTTCTTCTCGCCCTTGGCTCGTCCGGCCCCCACTCGAACGGCTACTCTCTCGTCCGGAAGATCGTCGAGCGCGCCGGCTTGAGCTACACCGACACCGCACCTTTCTCCATGCCCGGTCTTGACGCCGGCGTCTCCGTCGGCCGTGCCCTCCTCACCCCGACCCGCATCTACGTCAAGTCCATCCTCAGCGCACTGAACACCCACGGTACTGCCATCAAGGGTCTTGCTCACATCACTGGCGGTGGTCTTACTGAGAACATCCCCCGCATGCTCCCCGACACCCTTACTGCTCAGGTTGATGTCAGCACCTGGACCCAGCCTTCTGTCTTCACTTGGCTCCAGCGTGCCGGTAACGTCTCCTCTGTTGAGATGGCTCGTGCCTTCAACTGTGGTGTTGGTATGATCATTGCCGTTGACCCTGCTTCCGAGGCCGCTATCCGTCAGACCTTCGAGGCTGCTGGTGAGACTGTTTACCGCGTTGGTGAGCTGCGTGCTCGCGGCGAGGGTGAAGAGGGATGTGTGCTGTCTGGACTTGAGTCTTGGTCTGCGTAATCTCTACGATCTGACGTTAAAATTTGATGGTGATGGTGCTGTTGATGTTGATGCATGATGCTTTATATATGGACGGAGAAAATGATTTGCCTGGGTTATCTATCTTATAGATCTTTTTTTGTTACTGTTTCTTTTTCTGGTTTCTTCGTATTCCCCGTCTTTCTTCTCTGCTTGGGGTCGCATAATATAGGGCTTTTGAATGTGTCCCGAACTAATGCCGGTTTTTATACATGATGCATGATGCATGAAATTATATATACTGTTTTGAAACGAATACCATTGATTTACAAATGTGTTAGAGGTGTGCTGTAAGGCTGTGTTGATACTCGGATCTTTATACTATTGTTGATCTTCAATGTTTCAATTCCTCTAATCGTCTTGCCCGATCACCTCAATACTCGCGAGGAGCCTTGCATCAGTGCACAATCCAACCACGCCCTAAAGCAAGCGTTCAAGAAGAAGACGAGTTTGATTCGAGGCTGATGTACGATCTTAGATCTGGCAGTGCGGAGGATTTCTGACAAAGTGGAAGAAAGGATTCTAGATTCAAGGCTGTCATATTGTTTCCTATTTACTCTGCTCATTTAGTGTCGCCCAACTATGTATATATATGGAATGATTGAACGGCAAGAAGACATGCCTGCCATGATAAATATCTAACATCGAAAGGTTAAGACAAAGGATAGTTAGCGTGATGATTCAACAAGCGCTGAATTTGTCGACAGTAGTTCTAGGAAAGAACAGTGCATGAAATTTTTGGAAGAGTCACGTTAAAACTATGGACCAAGTCGGGCAATTTGGTTGATAACAACGAGGGGCTAGAAGAAAGACGTCGGTAAAAGACATCGAGAGAAAGAGAAACGCAAACTAAGCCTTATAGCCGACCAACTCCATATACATCCTCGCCCTACAGGTAGACCGTTGTCGCCGCAGCGTTAGAGACCCGTCCAGGCAAAACATTCAGAGAGGCGGACGGGACAGCGGATTCAAAAGAAAAAAAAAACCGGAGAATTGTGAAGGTAATAAAATGTTTGAAAGCAGAGATGGATGAATAGAGAGATCGAGGTAAAGAGTAAGGTAAAGAGTAACAAAAAGAAAACGACCGACTCTATTCCACTAAAATCGAGATTCCATTTTCAGGCTATCCGCTTGATAATGCGAGTCCAACAACGCTTGCAATCCACCAGTGCCCCCATCCTGCTTTTTGATACACCAGGAAAGTACGAGCGAATACGAGTAGTAAAGTGCTGCAAGAAGCTTAGAAGCACTTGCGGTGAACGATGGAAGGACCGCTCTCGTCGTACTCCTGCTTGGAGATCCACATCTGCTGGAAGGTCGACAGGGAGGCCAAGATGGAACCACCGATCCAGACGGAGTACTTGCGCTCGGGGGGAGCGATGATCTTGACCTTCATGGAAGAAGGAGCAAGAGCAGTGATCTCCTTCTGCATACGGTCGGAGATACCGGGGTACATAGTGGTACCACCGGACTAGAAAAAAAAAAGAAGTAAATGTTAGTGGGGATCTTAGTACGGGTTGAATTCCGGGGGATTTTCTTACCATGACAATGTTACCGTACAGATCCTTACGGACATCAACATCACACTTCATGATAGAGTTGAAGGTGGTGACGTGGATACCGCCAGACTCGAGGCCAAGAACGTTAGGCTGGAACAGAGCCTCGGGAGCACGGAAGCGCTCGTTGCCAATAGTGATGACCTGTCCATCGGGAAGCTCGTAGGACTTCTCAAGGCTGGAGCTCTGGGAAGCGGTCTGGATCTCCTGCTCGAAGTCGAGGGCGACGTAGCAAAGCTTCTCCTTGATGTCACGGACGATTTCACGTTCGGCAGTGGTGGAGAAAGTGTAACCACGCTCAGCGAGGATCTTCATCAGGTAGTCGGTCAAATCACGGCCAGCCATGTCGACACGCGAGATAGCGTGGGGCAGAGAGAAACCCTCGTAGATGGGGACAACGTGGGTGACACCGTCACCGGAGTCGAGAACGATACCAGTAGTACGACCGGAGGCGTACAGGGAGAGAACGGCCTGGATGGAGACGTAGAAGGCGGGTGCGTTGAAGGTCTCGAACACGATCTGGGTCATCTTCTCACGGTTGGACTTGGGGTTGATAGGAGCTTCGGTCAAGAGAATGGGGTGCTCTTCGGGGGCAACGCGGAGCTCGTTGTAGAAGGTGTGGTGCCAGATCTTCTCCATGTCGTCCCAGTTGGTGACAACACCGTGCTCAATGGGGTAACGGAGTGTGAGGATACCACGCTTGGACTGTGCCTCATCACCAACGTAGGAGTCCTTCTGACCCATACCAATCATGATACTGCGCACATGTTAGTATTGCTTTTTGCTCTATTGCGGCTCAAATGGGCTACATATTGCGTATATAGCCAAAACGATCCAGAAAAAAAGGGGGGATTATTTACCCATGGTGACGGGGACGACCGACAATGGAAGCTGTTTGAATTTGTCAGTTATTTGATCCTCAGATTCAAGGCTGTTCCTAAGCAAAAGAGGGGAAAGCCATCCGACGCAAGGGTTGGTGGGATGGCGGCTTTCGCAAGGGAGGGGTGTCAGATTCTGTGGGGTTTGACTTACGGAAGACAGCTCGTGGTGCGTCGTCACCGGCGAAACCGGCCTTACACATACCCGAACTACATCACAAATCATTAGTATCATAGTTCTTGTAGTCCTTGGAGCGCTATCTGGCAGTTGTGGGGGGATATGGAAAGCCATTGGGATGGATTCCATCTGCCGTCATGGCGGATTAGGGGTGGCGACGACCGCGACCGGGCTAGTTTGACGACCAGGCCCAGATACAAGGCAGAAGCTCCGGTTGGAAAAGCATATCACATACCCATTGTCGATGACGAGAGCAGCAACTTCTTCTATAATGAGATATATGGGTTAGTTCTCATTCTCAAGATTCGAAGCTGGGCAGGGGGGGGGGGCAGCTTCCGGGGAAGCTGCTGATGTGGCCACATCAAGAATAACGTACCCTCCATTGTGACAGATTAAACAAGGAACTTGGGGGGAGAAAGGGGAAAAAAGAAAAGAAAGATGGAATGAGGTTAGAGGGGGAATATAGTTGGGATTAGGGGAGAAGGGAAGAAGGAAGAGAGTGTGAGAGAAGAGTGGAGAGGGGTTTGTGATGGCTGGGATTGTGCGCTGCCTGAGGCTTCTGTTCTCTTTTTACCCCCTCCGATCTACAGACTTTGTACTTTCTTGATTTTTTTATATATGTTAGTGAGAATAAGGCAGAAATATTCCTAGTATAAATTTCTCCTTGATTCATTCAATCTTGTCTACCTAAAAGCATTGCGTGGACAATCTTGGGGGTGAGCCTCCCAGGCCCTTCTGGGTACGGGGGGGAACACGTACCTTGACCGGGGTTAGTGATTTTAGTGGTTAGTTATATTACAATGATTACAATGACAGTGGCAAGCCTATAAAAGGCATACAATTGTAGTTCAACTTCAAGGCTGCTGAATTCTCTCCAGTGGCGCAAGTGTTCTAAGTATAGGACACACCGGACCCAGACTTCAGTCCCTTGGGGTAGACACCCCGTTCCAAGGTTGTTTGGAGTGGAGGTGTATAGCGGGATAATACGGCTATCTGAGACTCTCAGCCAAGTCAGAAAAGTTGTCTTCGTTACCGCCATTTCCAGGGTTTATGAGAAAGCCTGTAACGGTGAGGCGATGCCACGTGACATGGAAAGTACGAAGCTCTCTATCCCCCTTTGACTCCTTGGTCTCCTGATTCTACACAGAACTTATACATCAGCCCACTTTGAATATCTCCATAAGAATCCTTGAGAATCCTGCCATTCCTCAGCAATAAATTGATTCAAAATAGTACTTTTGAGCCCCTTGGAATATATCTTGGCAGAGACTGAACTTTGATAATTGGGTTCTGGAACATTCGAAGATTACTTTGATAACTGGAAAAGCCACGACCCTTGATATATCAACCCGCGCAGCACGAGGGTTCGATTATTCCTATCACATCCGAGTTCACAACTGGTAGTCAGTTGTCTAGATTTTCGAGTCTGGGATGGCTAGGCCCACCGAGCTATCCGTCAACGGTTCCACGCAGTTGAAATTACACACCCCTATTACGCGCTTTCCATTCGATGGAGTTTTTGACTCCATAATATATTCCATGCCAGGGTTATTCAAGTGTGCGGCACTATCGTATTCTAGAGAAAGCGTAACTACTATTGTACGGAGTAGTCTATGATGAGTTCAATTTCTTCCAAAGATTTGGGATATCACATGATCGAACCCGCTGGTTCCCGCGCGAATCGCCCAGAGCCCTGGAGCCCTGGAGCGCACGTCAGATTATGTCAGCGGATCTTTTTCTTGTAGAAAAGTATTGGGAGAAGATTACGACTGCAACAATACTGCGTGATACACAGTAAATCAATTTCTGACCTAGGATATAAACTCTTCCTACTCCTATCTTCTTTAACCTCACCTCTGGACAAATACACCTTACACCCGGACAGCACAATTACCCCGCCAGCCCACCATGGACCCCGAAATGAACAAGCTCCTCAAATGGAGTGTCGCCAACTCTCAGGCATCTGCAGGTGCAGATGGTGAAGCCGGCGCTAATCTCCCGGCAGCGGCATCAACCTTGACCCCGCAGATGGTCAACACACTTTTTGGCGGCCCCTCTGAGGCCGACCTGATGCGGGCCGCGATGGAGGTTGTGCATGACAACGAGTCCGACCTGGAAAACAAGTTGATCGCATTCGACAACTTTGAGCAGCTGATTGAGGGAATCGACAATGCGAACAATCTCATCCCACTCAACCTATGGAAGCCGCTTGTCGAGCTGCTCAAGCACGACGAGGCCGAGATCAGACGTTATGCGGCCTGGTGTGTAGGAACAGCCGTGCAGAACAACCCGAAGGCACAGGATCAGGTATGAATGACTTATGGGAACCTACCTAGCATGATAATCACAATACTGACACGTTCACCAGCTCGTCCTACTCAATGAAATCCCTACCCTCGTCACCCTCGCCACCACAGAGTCCAACCCCGCAGCCCGCAAGAAGGCCATCTATGCCATCTCTTCTGCAGTCCGTAACCACCAGCCTGCATTGGATGCACTGAACAAGAGCCTCCCGGAAGGCTATCCCACCGACAAGACCGACGCTGGCGACATGGATGGCATTGATGCTATCATGGATAAGCTACGGTCTCACCCGATCAACACCTCTGCATGAAAGGCCCGAGCTATGACTGGACTGTAAGAGTCAGAATACAAAAAGATACAGAGCAAGATACCCACTGAATGCGAGTCTATCCCTTGGGACTGCCTTGTGTCGTGCCAAGGGTCGGCGCTCGCAATGCAACAGGCAATTATACTGTTACTGCAACTGCTTTGAGTGCTGTGATGACGACACTAGACTTCACTGCTGGTAAATGCCGGCGATTATTTGATGTGCGGATACCCGAAATGGTTCTGCACTGGTTCCTGGTTATTTGGTTGCCTTAGGGTTGCATCAGCGTGATCTACCAACCTGATTTTTTGTGGCATAAGCACATGTTTGAATTGTACATACCCAGGGACCTTTGTCCTACATCAAATGCAATCACGAGTTTCGACTTGTCTATTCCGGATGCCTGATTCCGTATATCTACTTCGGTGCCTATATTGCTTAACTTCGACTGTTTTGTGATTGTGATCGCGTACACAAATAGCAAAATACGTACTATACTGTAGACTGTTCATGGGAGAGCACAATAAAATCGGAAATCAATTTGCTAGGTACAGATTAGAGCTTATGTTGCTCTTGATGATATCAATAGATATATCGGAACAACATTTCTCCACCCAGGCATCGTCATTAGACTCCAGCTCTCACCAGCAACATCCCCTCAACCACCCCATCTCCCACACATCCCAAAAATGGACAACTCAAGCAACCGACTATTCCGCTTCTCCAAGCCAGAGTGGCTGAATAACTCCGCCGTCCGCAATGGCGGCGTCTACGTAGCAGGCGCACTGGTAAGCATCCAATCCGCCCTCCTCCACCTCCACTCTCCGGGGTCGCTCCTTGCGAACCCCCAAGCTCCAAGCCTTGAACTCCAAAGCAAAATGGAATGGAATTGAATCTTAGATCTGCCCGAAACAAATACCAAAAAACCCAGAAAAATCCAAAGCTAACAGCCCGTCTTGCTATAGTTCGCAGCTGGCTTCTTCTTCCTAATCGACGTCGCCTCATTCTCGCGCAGCCCGCGCAACGGCTCAGACGTGCATATCAAATTTGTCGACTGGATCCCGGGTATCTGCTCTGCTCTGGGAATGCTGGTTATCAACTCGATTGAGAAGAGCCGGCTGCAGGCTGATAGCTTTAGTTACAGCGGGAGCGGGGTCGCATGGAAAGCGAGATTCGTCTTGTTTTTGGGCTTTGCGCTGCTTGCTGGCGGATTGGCAGGGAGTGTGGTATGTATATGTCCAGATTCCTACTACTTATACCCTATGGAGAGGGTATGGGTTTTGGGGAGCTTTGCTGACTCGTTTCTCGGTAGACGGTTATGGTCCTCAAGTATCTCATCAAGGATTATCCTATTCAGACGCTGTACTTTGGAATTGCGAATATTGTAGCGAATGGCCTTGTTATGCTCAGGTATGTCTTTTACTTGTCTGATTCAATATTATTCGACGTGAAGCTGTGCTTGGATGGATGTTAACAATGCGATTCCCGATCTAGCTCTATCGTCCTCTGGGTCTCTCAGAACATTGAAGATGACTACACCTACAATCTTGCACTGTGAGGTCGCCTGGTTCAATCTATAACTTGTCTTTCTGTATTCTACTCGATTTTCTTGGTGTGATGACTTTTTCCCGGGATGCATTATATGCATCCGCATCTTTGGCTGGGATTGGCGCTTTAGCATGAATTTATTTGCATTTCTCTTAGGTTTCGTGATATCAAGTTAGGCGTACTTATTACGATCTTTAAAATATCTCGAATATCATTGATATTCTACAAATAAACAGTAGAGGTGAGCATTAGAGAAAAGTATCATTGCAACTATGCCTTGAACGCCGAAGCCCAGATATGCATTCATCAAATCGTAAAAATTACCGCAGTTACCTTCAACCCCTTCAGTGATCCTCGCAGAATAATCTTAGTAACTCATCAATACAAGTCATAGCTTTCTCCTTCTCTAAGACTGGAGGCGCCAACCCCGGCGTCTGTTTTAGATACCTGCGGAGCGCAAAAGCAGCAGCTTTGTATATCGCATGGTACATAGCCTTGAACTCATCATCATCCGCAGTGGTGCCCGGCGCAGGCGTTTCAGCACGCAAAGCTTCCGGTGCCGGCATTGTGCCCGAGGCATCAGGCTCAGGCTCTCCGGCACCACCTGGCGGCTTGCTCATAGACGCAGCGCGCATATTCGGATTTGCACGGTGGAATCCATACAGACGCATACATGTCAAGATCGTGCGCGTGATGAGATTCTTGTTCTCTGCAACCACAGTGTCTGGATCTTTAGCTGGCGAGCCTGGCGTAGACACGGGTTTCTCTTCGGAGAACGAAAGAGAAGACGGGCCCTGGCCCTGCGACATATGTGGTCCACGGCGCAGACCAGAATCCAAGAACGGGTTTGGTGTCGGAGCACGCTTTTGCGGATCGGCATTGAGGGCTGTCGTTGCGCGGCCGCGCACACTACCTGGGCGCTGTAGGCCCGCCCCGATAGAGACGGATCGGGAACGGTGAGAGACGATCCGGTCGAGGGATGGTAGGGAGGGACCGTCTTCTTCTGGTTCGCGCTTGATGCGTAGCGTTTGCAAGTTCTGTGATGAGGAGAGAGGTCGTGAAGGCGCCATTAGTTGTGAGACGGCTTCGCCGCCTCGCTGGCGTACGCGGCGGTGGTGCTGTGCGGCTACTTCGAAGAGCGTTGCGACTCTTTTGCGTTTGGGGCTGGGGGAGCTTATGTCTGGTAGGAACTCTGCGCAGCGCGAGTTCTCGATGGGTTGGTCTGGGTTGGAGCGTGGCGGAGACGGGTAGGCCTGGGCTTGAGTGAGTCGTGAAGTTGATAGTGGCGCGGCGTAGATTCTGAGTTCGAAGGGGGCACGCTGTAGTGTGTTGCTTTGACCTGGGGTCTCGGAAGGGGATGAATGCGGTGGGGTGGGTGGGCGTGTGCATGATGTTGCGCTGGATAGCACGCCGTAGACTAACAGACTTGATGGGGTTGCGTTGCCTGATTTAGTGTTGCCTTCTACACTAACCAGCAGACCAACTGGGCATTGTAATGATTGCTGGAGTGTTGGGTCTTCTTCATTTAGCCAGAGGGCGCCTGTTAGCTTCCTCTGGAGCCATCTTGATGTTCCCGCATGAGATGTGTGTAGCTCGAGGTTGGGACCGGCTCGTGCATGCAGTGGGATGAGTGCTGGATTGACGAAGCTGCGGAGTTTGAGTTGAGACTCTTTGGATAGCTCGGATTGCCAGTAGGAATTCGGATCGACCAGTCGAATCTCTAGTAAAATGGTCAGCGAAGAATAAGCTGCGATACGCGTGTAGTTTACCTTCTAACTTAGAGTCCGAGCTGAGAGGAATGGATCCTGTCCAAACATTCATCTTGTTATCTGGATCCCAGAAAGGCCTTTCATGTGTCCAGCATAGTGATATCGATTTTGTATACTTGTGTTGTTTCTAAACTGGTCTACTGCTATCTCCGAATCTCCTCTACGCGCCGAATCCGCGCGCGGTCACGTGAACCATTTCATAGATCTGACCAAATAAATCAGTTCAAAAGGGAGGAACTGTACATAACTTCAAATCTAAGTAGATTTACATCCCTCGGGTTTCAGAAGAATTCTATATCCATTGGGTTATAGTACACCTAGAGTAGCACAGCCAGGTGTTGAGGCCATAGCCATTTGAAGTGAGGCACACCCTGCACCAAATCACTCATACATAGCATATCAGGAATACGCTGAAATCAAAAGAAGAGTAAAGAAAAAAAACAAATATCATCATGAAGAAGGCCGGATGCTGCGAGGCCAGCTGGCCTACAGTATAGGTATGGTCCTTGGCAACCCCGCGCCTCATCCAGTCTGGGCGATCAGAACTCTTCCTGTTCCTGGAAGAACATTGAGAAGCTAATAATGGTTCCATAAATCAATAGGCCTCCGAAAATAGACATGATCATCGCTGGGATCTCGATTGCGCCGCTGTGGGCGAGAACAATAGGAAGTGCTAGAGAGGTCAGTTGGATGATCATCAATGTCGCAGTTATGTGCCAATCAATATAAGACATATTGTGGTCTACATATCAAGAGCCGACTGGTCGAGGAATGATATGTCCACAAGAGGGGTACTGGTGACGGAACCAACGACATACCGATGCCAGTAAGAACCAAAAATCCGGTCATGAACCGTCCAAAGTCCATCGCAGAGTTGCTTGAGCTGTCCATAAAATCATCTGGGTTTGCGCATCGTTGGCAGATCCAGTTGGGAAGCGGCGCAACAACGTAGATGCCGACCACCAGCAGCGGCCAGTACCTGTGCCATAGCGCGGAAGAAAGGATAACGAGGAGGAAGCCAATCGCGAGAACCTAGTTAGATGTTAGCAAATATTTAAAAGCCAGACGAACATCGAAAAGAAACGTACAAAGGAGAGCGCGATGATAGTCTTGAGTCCAGCGGCCATAATTGCGGAGATGCCGAAGCTCGTTCAATGAGACTAAAGGTGGGAGGGGTAGGAGGTGTTGAACTGGGTGGAACCAGGAGACAATATCAAGAGCAGATCAAAAATGACAGCCCCATTGGCTGAGTGCAGGAAATCGGAGAAAGACACAAGAGCGATAAGCTGGAGATGAGCTCGAGAATGAGTGACGTTGGCGCCTGGAGGTCACTGGATTTATGGCCTCAGGCACCAACAGCTCATGCTTCACACCGCGTCACTTTACTGCCTGCTCCAGCTCCCCCATTCTCCCCCATTCTCCCCCATCACCGGATTATCCCTCGGATTCTTGAGTTGCTGTTCCTGAGTCTTTATTTATCAACAATAATCCACTTTCCCTGTTTGCTTTGATATCCATTCAACCCTTGCCGCTACGATGTTCAGAAACAATTACGACAACGATGCCGTCACCTTGTAAGACCAGTTGCCCCGACCTTTCTCGGATTCATCAGATGCTAACTCGAAGAACCCCAGCTCTCCACAGGGTCGGATATTTCAAGTGGAATATGCACAGGAAGCAGTGAAGCAAGGATCCGTCGTGGTGGGATTGGTGAATAAGACACATGCCGTGCTGGTTGGACTCAAGGTTCGCAGACCTACAACAGAAAACGAACTGGCCGAACTGTCAAAACTAACATCTGAATACGCTCTAGCGCAATGCAGAAGAGCTCTCCTCGTACCAGAAGAAGATCATCGAGATCGACTCGCACATGGCGATCGCCATCGCCGGCCTTGCATCAGATGCTCGCGTCCTCTCAAACTTCATGAAGCAGCAGTCCCTCGGATCGAAGATGACCTACGGTCGGCCCATCCCCTTGGACCGAATCGTTTCCCAGATCGGCGACCGCGCGCAGACCAACACCCAGCACTACGGGAAACGGCCGTATGGTGTGGGACTGTTGGTTGCCGGTGTTGACGAGGCTGGCCCACACCTGTTCGAGTTCCAGCCCTCCGGTCTGACACACGAGATGCTTGCTTGTGCCATCGGTGCCCGTTCGCAGATGGCACGTACGTATTTGGAGCGAAACCTCGACAAGTTCGAGGACTGCAGTCGTGACGAGCTGATCCAGCATGGGTTGAGCGCGCTAAAGGAGACACTTTCTCAGGATAAGGAGCTTACGGTGGACAATACTTCTGTTGGTGTTGTCGGTGTGACTAATGGCAAGAAGGAGAGCTTCAAGCTGTACGAAGGCCAGGACACGGCTGCCCTGCTTGAGGTGCTGGAGCAGCGTGAGTCCGCTGGTGCAGAGGGCGAGTCCATGGAGGTTGATTCATAATTGTTTGATTTGGTTTAATGATTCGCATAGACATGAAATCCTGATTATGCTTTGTCTTGTGTTTGCGTCCAATGATCTCAATTATTCAATCATCAATTCATAAGACTCTTCTAACGAAGTAATGTACTTGTGTATGCTCATATACACACTGAAATTTTCCACCGAAACCCGGTCAAACCCCAATGAAATGCAACATCTGTCCCTGTTCCCCATTTGTTTGATGATCAAACTGAGCGACTTCACTCTTCTCCCCAGTTCAACTGCATCCGCCCGTTACTGACCTGATAGGCCACCAACTTCGGCCAAACCTCCGAAACCTCCTTAGCCTCGGCCAGAATCTCCCCATTACTAGAACTAATATATCCCTCCTTCACAGCATTGCGCACCCAAGCCAACAACCCATCCCAGTACCCATTAATATTCAACAACACAACAGCAACCTTATGAATCCCCAACTGATTCCACGTTGTCATCTCCATAACCTCCTCAATAGTTCCAAACCCACCAGCCAGCGAAACAAACCCAGACCCAGGCCCACCTTCGAGGACCTTCTCCGCCATCATACGCTTGCGCGTATGCATATCGGGGACAATGGTCGTAAGACCATACTCCGACTCAGGGATTCCATCCGCATCGGCAGCATCGATAACCCGCTCAGCGGCTTTTCCAGTTCCTTCGGCACTGGTCTGTCCTTCCCTGTGCTCGCGCATGCTGCTGATTGTGGCGATTTTGACCAGTGCACGTGGGATGATGCCGTGCACTGCTTTCGGGCCCGAGAGCGAGACCAGCGTGCGTGCTAGTTCGCCCATGAGGCCGGTGGTGCCGCCACCGTAGACTAGTTGCACATTGTGTTTGTGGAATTCTGCGGCGAGAGCTCGGGCTGTTTCCATATGCACTGGGCTGTTTCCTGGTACGGAGCCGCAGCTGGGGACCCCAGGGGGGCGTTTGTTAGTGACATTTTCAAGGAAGAAGGTATATTATTTGTGTAGGTGTAGAAAGCGCCTAGGTTGTGAGAGGTATGACTCACAATACACAGACGACGGCTGGTTTGGTCTCCGCGTCTGTCATCTTAAATATAGTTGGAGTTTGGTTTGGAGTTTGATTTTAATAGAGAAATAGATCTTGAAAGGACTTTAGAGAGTATATTGACACGGGAGGGACGAAACAGCCCTAGAGGTACCCAACCTTGAAACTCCCCCACTCCGATAAGAGATAGCGAAGTATAACGTCAGTGTTGACTCGAAATTTCCAAGGCTCTTTGACTCAGAATCCACTGCCAATCTATATCTATAAACCTCTAATCCTTAGATAGTATGAGCTGTAAAATAAGGTAATTTAAGAATTCCAAGTTTATTTTATATTCCAAGATATATATTCTTTGGCTTCTTTTAGGAAAGATATTGAACATATAAATCATCGCTTCCAGTATGAAAACCGAATACATTCTTCAATATCTTGATGCATGAAATGGGTAGAAATAATAACTGACTATACTATAGAAACCCAGGATATAAGAACCAAAAAAGAAAAAGCACAAAAGCCGTTCCAAATGCCCTTGCCTTGAATCCGACTCCTGACCTAGTCACCGGAGAACTGTCCAAGACAGTATCTGAACATTTATTCACACTTGCATCTTCTTCTTCAATCTCTCTTCCTCTATTTGAGTCAATGATTGGCCAGGCACCTGCACAAACTAGTGCCTCAATTAGCTGGTTACCTTTGCCAGCTAGCTGGAGCAACCCTTGCCCCATTCCATTGATGGTATGCAATGGTACTCCCTCTTGCTTTAAAAGCTCACATAGTATATCGATGTGAGCTCCTCGCACGGCGGGAAACAGTGCCGTCTCCCCAAACTTGTCAATTGCCGCCACATTTGCGCGATGGCTGAGGAGCCATTTAACCAAATCCTCATCCCCTCGCTCGACAGCCTCCATTAGGGCTGTTCTTCCCTCGCAAGAACTGCCGTCAACATCGAACGGGGAGGAATGATTCGCAAGGGCATCCAAGATCGCAACCTTTTGCTGGCTTGGCATTCGCGCTTTTGAGATCGCCCAGACTAGAGGATTCGTCTACGATATGTGGTTAGGATTTGCCCCTCTCCAAAGAAGGGCTTTGACACAGTCGACGCTGGCTCCCCGTGTCGCAGCATAGTACAAGGGAGTGACTAGTTCATTTTCACCACAGACTTTATTGGGATCTGCTTTTGCCCCCAAAAGCATTCGGACAATGCGTAAGTGACCGGATGATGATGCGGCAAGCAGTGGTGTCCAATTGAACTCTCCGTCATGTATATCGACGCTCGCTTTCAGATTGATTAGAGTCTCCACTGCTTTCCAACATCCATAGAACGAGGCAGCGTAGATAGGAGTCTGTGGTGCCGGAATATCCAGTATTCGGGATTGGCCTCCACCAAAACGCGCACAACATCAGCGTGTCCTTTGGCAGCCGCTAACCAGCATATCCCGTATTTGCCTTCGCGGAGAGCGCGGCTGTCGGCCCCGTGTTGCAGCAAGACACGAGCAACGCCGGTATGACCCAGATAGGACGCTAGATACAACAGAGAGGGGAAACGCGACGTGCTATTGTCTGGGATATCGACTGGCGTCTTGTTTTCTAGAAGAACACTGGCAATACGAGGCATATTCAGCCAGGTGGCTTTCCATAAAATGGCCGGCATCCAAGACAGATTGTCATCTGTTTCAGTTGCATCGGGATCTCCAACGATGCTGTGCTGGCTGGCTTGAGATATGATATTGTGGACATGATCCAAAGCAGCCTTCTCATCGCCGACCTGTAAAGAATGCAGAAACTCAGTCATAGGTTCATATTTCTTTGTGCCTGAGACACCCCCTCCAATATTCTCCAATATTTCTCGCGATTCCTGATCAAATGCTTCTTGACACCGGAGTATGTCATATGCACATGTGACTGTTTCTGGTGGAGGCCTTGAAAAGGGATTGCTCATGGACCAAAACACATGAGCCCACGGGGTCAGATTGCCATCTGGAAGAATAAGAGCTTTGTTCAACGATTGGACGGCTCGGTGACCCTTTGTCAAATGGTAAGGCAAAGCTTGGACAGCATAAAAGAGAAAATCATCGCCGGTTCCAACTAGCTGAGGTACGATATTATCCTTTGCAGCAAGATAGCGACTGAGATAATTGCCGAAGACATTCCCGATATGGCTACGGACAGCCGCATTTGTGAGATATGAGGTGAGAAAGTCCACCATGGTATCATGTGCGGCTGTGTCGGATTCGTTCCAGATGTAGTTTGGACCCTGTCTTAGAATCTCTTGGACATGATCGTGAATACAAAGCCTGTCTTCTTCAAAACTCACCACAGCTGGAAGCCAGTTACGGAGATGGCTTAGATGCTTTTCCACTTGCTCTATAGATGGCAAGCCTGTGATCCCTTGAGTACTGTTTCCTTGGTGATACAGCAGTACACAAGCCAGTACACAAGCCTCTCGTACCGTCAAAGGTCGATGCCCGTGTCGGATCCAGTGCAAAATCCAACAAAGAGCAGGTTTGTTGGCGACAGATCTTAGTATAAGATCAAGTACTTCTGCGGGAGAGGTCTCTGGTGAGATATAGCTGAGAAGATCGCCAGATTTGGACAAAGCAAGCGGTGATTTTTCATCGGGCCAGCCGGTATGAGACTGAAGCAGTTTGACTATTAAACCCAAGTTGCCTTTATCCATGGTAATGAGTCTTTGCAGGTTTGTGGATATCCGCTGCCTGTCATTGCTGGGGTCACTGCTGGGGTCACTGCCGGGGAAGCAGAGGCGTTCCATGAGGAACTTGATGTACCGACTTTTTGAAATATCCCACTCCTCGACTGGCTTTTCGTTGGATGTAAAAAACTGGCATAAACTCTCCATGCCAATTAGCTCATCTCGCACAGTTGAGCCGCGCTTGTAAGACACCACTATCCTCAGCTTCTCTTCTGATGCACTTTCGAATCTTCGAATAAGCCCCCAAAGAGTTTCCCTACTAGCGTGATCACAGTTGTCAATGTTTTGCAGCACAAGAATGCAACCCTTTTTTAAGTATGCTAGAGTGTTGTGGTTGTGGAGATCTTTCTTGATCCATCCTCGCCGCTTTAGAAAATTCTCGTGTATAGCAGTTGTCTCTTCGGTGACAGGAAGATCAGTAGTTGCGAGGTCCTGTAGTACCATCGAGGATATAATCTGGGTCATAGAAGGTCCCGAGAGAACTCCAGAGGGAACATTGAATAACAAACCAGGTATCTCGTCACTTCCATAAGTGAAATTATCAGACTTCCATGTCAGAAAGACCTGTTCTGCCAGCTCTGCACACTCGTCTTGATCATGGCCCTCCAAGCATAGTATCTGCGGCCCATTTGCCGTTTTCCATCTTTCGTGAGGTGTGCTGTGTATGACCGGACAATCTGCAGACATGTAAAGCAATTTCATCTGTTGATGAGGCATCGCCATAGGCGATATCGCTTGTTGTAGCGTAATCCACATAGGGCTCAAATACCCAGCTGTTGAAAAGAAATATGTTAGAATGAGTTGGGAACGATATCGCATTTTGGAATATAGAATGTTTCACCTTTGACTGCATGGCAAATGAGCTTGTTGCGGAAAAGACATGGATCATAAACCAAAGGAGACTGGACTAAAGTCTCAGTGGGCACACCTAGTGTTGATATAAAGCGGTCAATTACACTGATACTTGGTGTGTACAAAGTGATTCTTGACTGAATAAACAGTCTAGTCCCAACCTCCGATGCATTTGCAAGGGCTGATGCAAGGGCTGGAGATTTTGACGTGGGTATTTGAGTGAACGTGTAGTTTTGACGATTGAGAAAATCCCAAATCTGAGTTTCAAAATCCTGTACATCCTGTCTTTGGTGAAGACCCTCCCAGAATATCTATAATGTAAGTCAAAACTTTTGCATCCAAAAGGCATGTTATTAACATACAAACTGCACTGGGGTCTCGATGATACCAGGCCAGTTGACCTGTTTGAGATGAATAATGGGGGTATTGCACTAGTCTTTAATTAGATCAAGATCAAAGAGAAGGTAAACAAAAGGCAGCTCATATATGTAAAAGAAGGGGGAAAATAGGAGAGAGAGAAAAGCAAGAAAGAGAAAGTGTATAGAGGGTATTATAGACGAGGCCTGAGGTTCGGCGGCTAATACTGCGATTGGACGTTTCATGTTTCAAACTCAAACTTTGGAGCTATTTACCTTACTATATATGATAGAATATATGATAGAATATATGATTAAGTGGTGAGAGTGTGATAATATGATTCATGTTATAGGTATGTCTGGATAGTTGGTTGGATGTGATGCCCTATAGTTCCAAGTTAACTGCTTATTTTCAAACTCCCAGAAATATAGTGATATGATTTGTTAAAGGTATATTAATCAGTCTGGTACTCAGGTATTAGTTACTGCCTAAAATGAGACATTTAAATATCAATGGTTCATTGGAAATGGTTGATCCCTGGTGTTTATAGTAGTTGGGTCCTTTTTTTTTGGCCGCCTCATATGTTGACTATTTGAATTCATGTCTTGAATTCCTACCAAAAGCCATACATTTGCTCTTGCATAATCATATTGAAATCAGACAGTAAGGCATTGTTTGCTTATAGTGAGTCTTGTTTGTCCTCATGAAGCTATATAAGGAGCTTCACGATTATCGTCGCTATTGGTTGCTGTCAATCACTTTCTTGCTTTATCCTCTTACAGACATATCGTTCATCTGCTATATCTATCTATATATTCTGCAAACCTTTTATATTAGTTTGCACATGTCGGACGTCTCAGATGTTTTAGTAAAACTTTTAGAGTCCACGCTTTTTCATATTACTTTTAGCTTCATGCTTGACATATTGAAGCGCTGACCCACAGTGTCTTTTCAAAAACTTCTTATTTTCCAGTACATCTCTGGATTCCTTGTCTTTCAATGTGCATTTGATGGATCGACATGTCAGTCAGCGAAGTGGGAGGGCATGAAGCTGTCCAAATGTGGAAGGTGAGTGTCTGCTAGATGATACCTATCTACCTGAAGCCACTATACTTTTTCTTTTGCGGGCCATCACTGATACCTAAGCTGACAGGTATTTGAGAATACCTACCCTTCAAGGTTCTTCTTCGCACCTCCCTCACCGCCGGTGGACGCTGAATCCCTCACCCTCCGTTTCCCCAGTGCTTGCGAATAATGTGGCTCCATCTACTCACCCCTCGCATACCTCTCGCTTTGAACACAGCCACACTGATAGTGGGCTGTCCTCGTCGAGCAAAGTACCCTACCCTAGCCGCGCCTCTAGGAGACATGTTAGCATCCGTGCCAAGCGAAACTCCCCCAGCGGCTCTAGCAGCTCTATCTTTATTTGAGGACCCTTGGTCGAGGTGTGTAAAGTGGGAAAAAAAGAATATGTTTCCTGTCTCTAACCTCACCATGCTCCTAGGCACGAGAATGACCCCTAAAGGTCATAAATTTTCCTTTTTCCTTTCTGTCAACCTTTCTCCTGTTCCTCCTTTGCCATGACTAGTATATAACATCGGCTGCACAGCATCCTGGTGCAACAATACTGTTGCTGGCGGGTGTTGGGGTATGGTTGAACATACTCTACTGCTGTTTAGCTGCATGGTTTTGATTCACAACAAGAGCCTAGCAGAGTTGAACCAAACATGACGAGCTACGGCTCTTCTATCCCGCCCTGTAACACAAAATTCGGGTGTCGGCATGACCTATTCACATAAGGCGTTCATATTGGTCGGTATCTTCACACAGCTGCCGGGATCCTCTTCATGTCGGTGATTTTCTCCTCTTGTCTCGAACAAATCGGGTTCTATCGCAATGCATATCCCACAAAGACAGGGGTCAAACAGAGTAGAGCTAGTTTACATATAAGCTATGAGAAGGTGAAATTTCCTCAACTGCCTGCATTCGATGTTATGTGTATTACAAGAAACCACAGGCTCTAACAAGAAGCACAGGACATCAACATCATCGTCGAGATACATGCCATCCATGCTTTCAGCAAGATTCCAGTTCACCTGGTCCACAAATCACAAACGAGTGCTGGAAGTACGCTTATTGGCAAGCAATTCGACATCCACGCTAGGGGACGGACTTTGGAGTGTTCCAATCTCCGAACTGTAGGAATGTAGAAGATCCGTCCAAGCCATGCCACGATCGCTCAATACGTGAGAGGTAAGGCATACACTACTCAATATAGATCCTTTGCTGACCTATTCTGTAGTCGACAATATTGCCTTTCCGTTATCATCCTCACAGGGCCCAAGGTGTGGTATGCCTCAGAGATATTCCAATATCTATCGGCGATGGCTCAATCCCTGAGGCCAAGATTTATACTCCTCCTAGGCAGTCGGTCTCGAGGTGTGTATACTCATTCATTCCAGACAGGCTATTCATATAGTAACTTGCTGGTTCTACAGTGCTGAGATAATCATCCTCTCTCATCACACATGGTCTGGGAGTGTTTTGATTTGCCAGGAAAAGCTTGCGCCATGGCTGCTTTTACATTATCCAACCGCCCTGCACAACGACCCATAGCTTTGTATCTTATGGAAGATGTTTCAATATGTCCTTGTTTTGTGTGGTCCTAGAAACAAAGCGAATAATCCAATAGCAACGTGAAAAGGTGATATACTGATTCCTGATAACATCAGTATGCAGTGGGAGCTTTCATTGTAGAACATGGCAGCAGTGTTAACAACCCATGAGAATGACCCCCGTAGGATCCTAAAAAAATAAAAATAAAAAGTTATGTATGCTACAACGTTTAGGTATTCCAGGAAATAATAGGTCAAAATTCAGCAGTCAGACCAAGACTGAATATGTCAAATCCAGCTGATAACCAGCTCTTAATCCAACAGAGGAGGCCCCCATGAATACTATGCCCAACCCCAAACGCCCAGAGATGCAACAAAAAAGGGTATCAAGAAAACAACTTAGCTGACAATGCGGCTCTTCTTCCGCTTCGACTTATCACCAGCAGAGCTAGGCGGCGAACTACTCTTATCGGAAGCCTTGCCGGGAGTCTCGACGCGGACCTGCGGCGTCGATGCCCTGACAGGCAGGGCAGAAGGTGTACCAGTGGCCGCCGCAGTAGCAGCAATTTTCGGCACGGCTTTGGCAGCCGTGCCAGTAGCCTCACCGCCAGTTCGTGATAAGATGAAAGAGCCTGGTTCGCCGACAAGGGGGCTCTCGTCCATGAACTCGTCGCCGTAGCGCGTGAGTAGGCTAAATGATTCGGCTAGACTGCGAGTATCTTGAAAGCTTGAGCCCGTGGCTGAGCTGCCCAGACTTGATTTGCCGGCTGATTGGGAGGATTCGGTCGTAGGGAAGGATACATCTGGCATGGGCGTCGCTTCTTTGCTCTGGGAGGCCTGGCTGGTGGTTCCGGCAGTTTCTTTGCTGCGGACTCCGGGTGGTAAGTAGGTGTGTCCGTGGGAGGCGGTGAATGTTGGTAATGTCGCGGCGGATTTCATGAGCTGGGTTAGGGATGTGACAGCGGATAGCTGCGAGGAAGGATTCATTAGTATACTTGTCTCGGGACGATGGATAGTTCTGAGCATAATACATACAATTCGGTTGCCCACTACACCCGCAACTGAAGGGGCCATGTAGATGCAGTCGCCAACAATGAAGTACGTAGATATCACCGTCACCTCGTCGTCCATGCCGCTCCTTTTCCGCCGGTTCTGCTTGCGAATCACCCAAATGTTGGACGGCTCGTGGGCAAAGCGATTGTCTGTTTGTGCGGCTGCTTGGAGGGGGTCATATGACACAATGAACTCAAGACCCTGCATTGTTTTCAGTCGGGCTTCGAACGCTTCACGCGTCTCGACGAAATGACGAAAGGCATCGTTGTAATTGGCTTGGATGGCGAGCGAGGCATTGTTTGAAGTCGAATCAAAGAAAGGTGATTCGGCAAAGTAAAACAGAACTAATTGATCGGAAAGTTAATCTCAGGGCCAGGGGTGGTAAGGTGTGCAACTCACTATTGTTGGAATGAAGGAAACCCCCCATCATCTGGACGTGCGGGGGAGACCGCCAGAGGATCTCCTCCATCGAGGCATCTTGGCTCGCCATTTGCGATTTTGGAATGATAGACCGAGTCAACTCCGGTCTATCGAGGCTTAGGACAAGCTTTTATTTTTGAAGATTGCGAAAGAAGTTTTAGGGAAAGATGCAGCTCGGAAGTTGAAGCTGCGGAGAAAATGTTGTTTGTTTTGTTTGCATCTTAACAGTACATGATGACGACAGGAAGAATCAGCTAAGGTGAGTGGTGAATATTTGCATTTCTAATTTCTATATTTGTTGGAGAGGTGTTATACAAAATACAAGGCAGATGTACAATAGCAAAAGGCTAACCGAAACGCCAACGCTGAATGTTGAATCGAATCTCTATCCCAACGCATAGATCCGAATGTTGAAAGCAAGGAAAA